GCCGCCCGCAGCTGCTCGAGCTCCCGCCGGAGGCTGTCCCGCTCCCGCCGCAGCTGCTCCTCGGTCACGCTGCTCTCGCTCACCAGCGCCTCCAGCATCTCCAGCACCCGGACGATCCTGAACTGCAGCCGGGCGCGGGCGGCGGGCAGCTGCGGCCCGGCGCGGAGCTGCAGCAGGTCCCGGCCCACCACGGAGGAGATGTCGTACACATCCGCGGCCGTCAGCTGGAACGGGCTCTTCTCCAGAGCGCTCTCCGGGCCGCCATCCTCCTCCTCCTCCTCATCCTCCTCCTCCTCCAGCTCCTCCTCCCCGTCCCGGCCCCGCTCCATGCCCGCCGCACCCCGGCGCTCCCTCCCAGCGGGGCCGGGCGGCGCTGCCGGCGAGGCCGCGGGCGGAGCGGCCCCTCCCGCCCCCGGCGCTCCCATGGCGGCGGCCGCGGCCCCGCGCCGCTTCCCGCCCTGCCCCTTCCCCTGAGGAGGCGCCGCCCGCGCTCCGCTGCCGGTAAGGGACGGGGGCTCTCCGGCAGCCCCGGAACCGGCACCGAGGCGGGTGAATGCATCGGGCTTTCCGCAGCGCCACGTCCGCCTCGGCGGCTCGGGGAGCGGGGCGGGGGGGACTGGCGGGCTCCGGGAGCGGGGAAAGGGCTGAGATCGACCCCGGCGGGAGCGGCTGCGGCTCCTCCGGGCCGGCGGATCGGCCTCTGCCCGCCGGGAGAGCCGCGTCCCCGCCGGGAGCGGGGCTGAGGGGCCTCCTCGGCCGGACGCGGGGCAAGGCCGGGGCCCCTCAGGCCGGGGTAGGCCGGGAGAGGATGCGGCTCCGGGACTCGGCTCTGTCCCGGCATGTGCACTCAAACAACAGCGACACGGCTGGCTCATTTTCGTGTGTCACACTTTGGGGGGTTTTCGGATGAACACAGTGCAGCGGTGCTGGAAGCGATTCTTGCCCAGGCTGTTCTGACCCAGCCGTGAGCCTGTGCCTGTGTTCTCTCCCCCAGACAATGGCTGACTGGGCCCCCATAGCGAAGGAGTACGATCCCCTCAAGGCTGGCAGCATCGATGGCACGGACGAGGAGCCCCACGACCGGGCCATATGGCGGGCCATGCTGGCACGGTACGTACCCAACAAGGGCGTCACGGGAGATCCTCACCTCACCCTCTTCGTGGCGAGGCTCAACCTTCAGACCACAGAAGAGAAGTTAAAGGAGGTTTTTTCCCGCTATGGAGACATCAGGAAGATCCGTCTGGTTCGAGACCTGGTCACGGGATTTTCCAAGGGTTATGCGTTTATTGAGTACAAAGAGGAGCGCGCACTGCTGAAGGCCCACAGAGATGCCAACAGGCTGGTCATCGACCAACATGAGATCTTTGTGGACTTTGAACTGGAAAGAACTCTCAAAGGATGGATTCCCCGGAGGCTTGGGGGTGGGTTTGGAGGCAAGAAAGAATCCGGGCAGCTGCGCTTCGGAGGACGGGACAGACCTTTCCGAAAGCCCATCAATTTGCCAAACATGAAAAATGATTTCTATGGAGAAGGATCATCAGAGAAAAGAAACTGGTCTCGTGAGGGAACGAGGGACTGGAGAACCAGGGACCGGGACCACGAGAGGAGCAGGGACAAACGCTGGCCAGAAAGGGAGAGGTCCTGGGCTTGGGGTGACAGTGAGAGAGACAGAGACTCCAAAGAGGAGAGGAGCAGGGGGAGGGAGAGGAAGGACAGAGACAGGAAGGACAGGGATAGGGACCGGAGCAGGGACAGAGATACCAAGAAGCAAAGAGATGATGATAAGCATCGATAGGTGACCGTTCCTTGTCCTTGGGGTGTGTGACCTACCCTTGTGGCAGCTTGGGGCTGTGACAACATTCCCAGAACAGGCTGTGGTGTTGCCACCTTGTGCCTGTGACTATGCTGTCAGCAGCTTTCTGTAGTTTGGTTCCTACTGCAGTTCGGATGTGTGTTGAATTGTTCTTTAGAGAAAATAAACTTTTGTATTAATGTTTTTGAACTGGTGAGTGCTGTAAGAAATGCACTGTGTGTACTGGCATCCCACTGAGATGAGCACACACCTTTGGCTGCCTGAATGAGGAGTTATCCATGTGCCAGGTGTCCATATATTTGTTATGAAACAGTCCCATGCTGGAGACACAGGAATGGAAATAACAACAAACTTCTGAAACTTCTGTGCCCCAAAACAGAAGCTGATGGGAAGTGGCTTAATTTTTGTGAAGACACTGGGACAGGTAGAACCTTTATTTATACTGTGTCCTTAACTAGTTCTGCCAGGTGAGAGAGAAACATGGAACCAGTCCACTGTCTGTGACACAGGAGGATGAAACTCCTTTGTACAGAAGAATGTGCACCACGGGACAGTAAGCACGTCAGAAAATGCCTCATGTTCCTGATGAATCCATGGACAGTCACTGAGGGAGGGTGTCACGGGTAAATGTGGTTGCAGCTGCACCCACTCTGTCCTCACCCTGCTACACAGGCTTTAAATCCATTCTGGAAACTGGGCTTGTGCTGGTTGTAGCTGAATAGGGAAAAAGGACAAAACATCTTTTTCAGGGATAGGATGTGTAAATACAGACACACCCCTTCCATTAAGGAGTTTACAGTACTTTCTAGAAAAGGCTCTGTCATGTTCTTTGTCATCATAAGCCATTCCTAAATATATAATGTATTTTAAATTGTATTTCATCAGTCTTGGAATGGCTCTGTCCTAATCCTTGTCTGGTTTGAGGCTGTATTTCTATGAAATTGTACACAGATCCATAAGCTGCATCCCCAAGAATGGATGGTGTTACTTTCCACAAAAAAAAAAGACACAAGTCTTGCAGAAATGCATGTTTTTCAGAAATATTTATTAAACTGTTAAAATGATTTATTGCCCAACCAAAAAAAAAAAAAAAATAAACCAACCCATAAAATGTCAGTGATCCTGCACTTGGCAGGCAGGATTGTTACATCCCTAACCTGCCAGCATCCTGGCCCCTTTTCTAAAAGCAGATTTTCCTTGAATATTGACAAACAATACACGACAGATCTTCAGATCTTTACAAACGCTTCCCTCTGCGCCATCCCTCCCGATGGCACTTGGGGGGTGTGAATGCAGCATTGTGAACATGAGAACGAATGGTTAATGCCAGCAGGTCAGGAGGAGCTCTGAGGGGTTGAGGTAATGCTGCAGACACGTGGGGAAGGATTCCTGCCTCCTGCAGTCGGTGTTGGCTGCAGAGCTGGCCCGACACAGCCCCGGGCGCCGCTGGACGTGCACCAGGCCTGGAGATTTCCTTTGTGAGGCATTGGCTGGGGTTGGGTCTGTGCAGCTCCATTATCCCAGCTCTTTGCTCTCAGCTGATTTCCAAAGGGATTCTGCTTACTCAGGCCCACGTTCCTGCATTGTCCCTGCTCACTGCATCCCTTCTGAACGGCGCTCGGGACAGGCTCCATGGGGTCACCCACAATTTAACTGCCTGATGTGGCTCTGCTGCACTTTTTGTTTTCTTATATGGAAGTGAAGCCAGATCTTGGTAATTTAAGTATCATTGAATTAAGACACACCCCCATTTAAGAGTTGCTTTTCAGATCAGGGGAGAAGTGCTGCTGTTTTAAGGATATTACCAAAACTTAACCAGGTGAAAACACACCTACCCCATACCCTCATGGACTCTGATCATCATGTCCCATATAAGGCCACACGTCCCCCCTACCCAGAGCTCCAGTGACACCAGGGGGGCACAGTGAACACTTTTTTCCCTGCCTAGAACACACAGAAGGCCCATGTTGGAATGAAGCAGTTACAGCCAGAGCAGGGCAGCACACAGCCCACCACTGCAAAGAGAGGTTTTATTGCCAGGGTTTTACTACAGATGGGCTAAGAACCATTTGCTGCTCACACACATTAAAAATCCACTCTTGGATCACCCTGTAATAAGAACAACTGGCCTGCATGAAGCCCTCTGGAGTCCTTTGAGAGTTCCTCCTCCACTCAGTACCTGGAGTAGCTGGAGCTTGGCTCCAGCCTGAGCTGTATTTCCTGTCCTTGCTGCCTCTCCTGAGAAGAGGCTGTGCAGAGCAGGAGGAGCAGCTGGGGTGTGGTGTCACAGCAGCTCCCAGCCCCTGGCACTGAGCTGCAGAGGCAGAGGCTGCCCAAGGCCCTGCTGGCACGAGATCCTTCCCAGGAGCACTGGTCTCCAGCATGGACCTTCCCAGCCCAGGGCAAGGCCACAGAGACACCTCAGCCCTGTCCTCACACGGAGCCAGGGACACATGAGCCCTCTCCCAGCTGGTCAGCTCCTTGTGGAGTGTGTGGAGCAGAGGTGGGCACTGCACTGGCACTGGGTGTCCTCAGCACTGACCCTGGGAGGTTTTAGTGCTGGAAGAACAACCTCAGCCAGGCCTGGGGTCTCACCAGCTCAGCTGCAAAGCAGATCCAGCCCCAGCCCTTGGGGTTGGCTGCTGGGCCGTCCTGGCAAGTTCAGCCCTGTGACAGGGGCTACCCAGACATCTGCCACCACCAGAGGAGCAGCTTCACACACAGAATTCTTCTGTTCTGCCCACGTAGTGTTGAGTCAAGAGAAAAGGTTGGGGTCATGTCTAGGTCAGTGAAATAGTTCATGTCAGCCAGCTAAGGATGTGTTTCCCTCTGAAACTGGGCAGTTTTACCTAGACAGGAAACTGAAGTGTGACTTAATTAAAAACCTGTCTGTGGGAAAGATCTAACTCTTTTACAGCAGCTGCCTGCTACACTGTGAGGAAGTCCCTGGTAAGAAGGGAAAAAATTTAAAAGTTAGGATTCCTCCCAGTAAGCAATTTGTTTTCCATTAATACTGCAGAACACAAGGCACGCTCACCTCACACATCGTCTCTTCATGCTTTAGGCACTGTAAGCACAAGGGAAATGTACACTCACTGTCCCTCCCAAGGCTACTCCAGTTCTCACTGTGTCAGGTGCATTTCCAAGGGGTGACTCTGCAAGATGCCGATGCCAGCGGCACGGACAGGACACAGCAGAGCTGTGGCTGCCACCAAGGGCGTGCAGCCATCGTATCCCTCTTGAAAAAATTGTTACAGAAATAAAAAGCAAACAACCAGTAGTGTTAACAAACAGGGTAAAAGAGTCTTTGCCCTGTACTAGATATACACTGCAAACAAACTTCTAATAATGGCACAGGTCCTTTTTTGGTTTAAAGAAGCTTGTGTTACTGTAGTTAATGCATGAACAAGATCATGGACTTGTTATTCAGCACAAAACAAGTCATCTAGAAGCTTCCATGTCCCAGGGTGTCAGCAACTGTTACTACAAAGCTTGGGTTCCTGTTTGCAGCAAACAGTCACCAAGTGAACAGTGAGGGATCCCTTTTGGAGAGTCTGAAATGACCCCGAGGTGTGCAGGGCAAGGAAAAGTGACGAGCTGCCGCGATGCTGTACAGAAGCTTCTTGTTACAAGACTGTCGAGATCTACTGCAGCAAACCAAACACCTCAGGGCTTTAGTCACAGGTGTTGCAGGGCTTCTTGTCCTTGCTCCATGTAGGCATCATCTCTGTTTGAATGTGACCATTCTCCAAAAGTTTGCTGGAAGTGGACATTTTTCTGTGACGCCTGCATACGTTTCTTATCACGAGAGAAGAAACTAAACCTTCCAGGAGGGGAGCAGTGAGGGAGGGAGGGAAAAGAAAGAATAGTGTTTACCATCCTGAAAGCACTTCAAACACCCACCCCAATGCACACCATAACAAAACACCGAGCAAAAAACTCTGTTTGCATCTGCAGGAAACCAAGGCAGAGCAGCCTGATGGGAGTGCGTGTCAGAACGTTGTTAGGGATGGAGTCATTGCAATCTCAAGCAGTTTGGCTACAGAAGCTTCAGATAAGCCCTAAATGCTGTTGACTCTACAAGGTGCAGGTTTCATTTAGACGTGGGTTCCCCCTTCCCCAGCCCTCAGGTAACGAAGCCACACAATCCAGGTTAGTTTCTTGGCATAAGTAAAGTGGTATCTTTGGCATTAAATCTCTATATTTTACCACAAAGCAGAAACAGAATTTTTTTAAGGTCAGGGAAGTTCACAAGATAAGAAAATAAATCTCCATATTTTTTCCCAGTATAGAGGTTTTGATACATAAACTTGATTCCTGCAAAAAGGAATGAATAAATGCACCTATGTGCACGAGAGTTTGCAGGATGAAGGCTCTAAACAAATGCACACGAGTGTGCACGTCATTTCCTGTCACACAGCTTGGGTGCTCTCAGATAATGACGTACATGAACCAACAGCCATTTAATACAGCTAAAAACACAGCTGGAAAAATCCTTAGTATTGTTTTATTTGTATGGGATGAAGTTATTGGATTAGGCAAAGTCAGTGTTTGTTGTGGGTTCAGTACAAGAGGTGTTAGTGCAGTGTTCAGGCCTGCTGAGAAATGCAAAAGTTGTGGTTCCAGCTACCAATGGACTGAGTTGGCTGTGGATCCCTTTGGTCTCAGTGCTGGGTGGGCTTCAGGAGGTGAGGATTGTTTTTCCTGCCCTGTACCAAGTGTCACACAGCTGTGATCCAGGACAGGAAGTGCTAAATGCTGCCCAGTAAGGGACTGTGCCAATAGAACCTCAGCTTTGGCAGGGGCTGGAATATTGGTCAGGGCATAAACCTGACCCTGAGTCCACCCTCACCTTCCTCAGCATTCTCCCAAATCCCCCTCAGCACCATCATCCCAACCCTGCCAGCTGCCTTGTGCAGAGCAGGGAGTTCACCTTCCATGCCTCTCAATACACAGGAGGCTGGATGATAATCACTGAGAATATTAAGAATAATTACTTGTTGATTAGAAAGGGAAATCAACCACTACACAAGTTAAATGCACATAAATTACAGTGCCAGCAGAACCTGAACTTTTGCATTTCCTGGCTTCAAATGTGCAGCCTTAATAGTGAAATAAGTATTTTGTACTTAATTAGCCTCATACTTTTCTACCACCTTCATCACAGGAGTTCATAAGTTCACACACATATACTGAATATTTTCAGGGCCAGAGCCAGCTCCAGCTGATAAAAGGAGTGTTTGGTGGCTGAGCCTTCCTACAGAGCCCATTTGGTCCTGCCTGCTCAGGGTTTCTGTCTGGAAGCCCACACAAAGGACTGCTGTGTTTATACAGTCAGTTTCAAAGCTCGGTAATTTTTCACTTTATCAGGAAATTAAGCAGGAGAAAAATAAGTTCGTAAATCTCTAAAAGGTTCAGCTTTTAAAATTCCTTCTGAAACAATGAAAATTGTTATTATGGCTAGAAAATGCTCATGGAGGATGTCTGGAAAAAGCCTGTCTGTGTGGAGAGGAAACTGTGTCGTTGCTGTAAATATAAGGATTGCTAAAGCAGCAGTTCTAATGCAAAGAGACTTTGCATTAACAATTATCAGTATGTCTTCCAGGGAGAGACAAGAATTGGATGACAGAATTGATTATGAAGAGTTTACACTCTATTCCAAAATACATAATTAGAGACAAAATATACAGGGCATAGATAGAAAGACATGAAAGCAACAGCCTGTAATTAACAGTGGAAATTAATGTGGAAATCAGCCTCTCCATTCTGCAACTCTAACTAATGATTGTAACAAATTATTAGAAACAAGTTTCTCAAAGAGCACTGGTGAGAACTGTGAATAGCCTTGCTTAGGAAGCAGAATTAAGAGATGTGGTTAAAACTGCATATTGCACCGATTTTCCAAGGAATAATGATTGGTTTAGCATGGCCACATTAAGGCAGAAGGTGATAACATGTGAGTTTGAGGATGAGCATGGAGGACTGGGATGAGTACTGACACTGACTGGTCATTCTGATTGGCACTTTGATCCTCTGGGATCCCCCTGGCAGCCAGGAGAATGCAACCAGCAGTGCTTGTTAACAAGGGGTCATGCAAGAGGAAACCACAGTACCAAACATTTAAAAAAAACTCCTACAAGGGACACAAGTCTTCTTATTGGCTGCAATGTGGGATCGTCTGGAATCAATCCAGCTGCTACCATGGGCATTATGGCTGTAAAGATCCTGGTCAGGAAAGTACAGACACAGAAGAGATAAGACTGGAGCAAGGGAAAGAAAAGGCATTCCATTAAAAAGAAAAGAGGCAAACATGATACACGGGGTTACTTTGAATTACAACACAGGACACGTTACAGGGAGAGGGGATCTGCATCACCCAAGACAGCTCTCCTCAGTGAAAAACTCTTGTTCAGAAAAAACAGTTATTGGAGCAGTTTCAATTGCTTTTGGATTTCTAAAAGATACCACTTTCCTGTTGTGAGGCAGCCTGCAACCTGGCTTGGATTTCATCAAGGTATGACCAGCTCTAGCAATGCAGAGCACAGTGCACGTTTTTGTTCCAAGAGACAAACAGGCACAGACACAATGAAATGGAGGATGAAGGTGTGTGTTAAATACAAAACAGGACTCTGCTGTGACTACTGGATATTGGCACAGGGTTAGAGAGGACCAGCACTACAGTTAAAGATTCCACAAGGGTTACAGTTGATATTTTCAGGTTAAAAACCAGTATTGCAGGTGAGCTGTTGAAATAACCTCCTAAGAAACTGCGTGGTTAAAGGGGCTGTGTGTCTGTTCCAAAGGAACCTGGGTTACTGCTCATGCAGGAAGATGCCAACTGCAGGCAGCTGAATGCTTTAGGGAAACCTTGCAGCTGCTCTGGCAGGAGCACTGGAGCTGGCTCACAGCAAGTCGAGTTCTTTGTGAGGGTTCAGCACTGAGCATTAGACAATCCATGCAGCACAGAGCTGAGAGCTGAGTGCTCTGTGCCCAGCCAGCCCCACACAGCTGCCAGCACACCTCCATCCATACCTGCACACCCTCTGTCTGTCTGACTCTCCTCACAGCTTCTCCCTTGTGCCAAATATTTTTTTGAACTGTGGACTAATGTCAATTAAAGATTAAGTTGAAATCACGAGAGACATTTCACTTGTGACCAAATGCAGCTCTCCCCAGCTCACTAACTGCTGTTCTGAGACTAAAATTGAAAACAAATGGGCAAGCACTCTTGGATCATTAGCAGCAGCCAGGATTTCTATTTTTGTGCAATGTGGCACGTCCTGAGCTGCAGAGCTGACAGACACACCAGCTTTTGTAGGCTGCAAGAATAGGAAGAGAACTCCTGGCTGTTTGAGGCATGACATCAGTGACAAACAAGCACGTAGTCTTAAGGAGAAAACAAAAGGGTGTTTTCTGCTCCAAACAGAGGGAGCATTTTTAATCCCTGGACTTTTCCTCCTCAGTAAAGCCTCCTGGTTACATTATTTCATTAAAACTCTGTCATGTGATGGGGGAGAGACAAATGTACGAGTCAGGCATCTGAGATCAGAACTCAGAGTTTGCCCCAAACGTGCCAACCCAGAAAAAATGCTGATTCTGTAGCTTCTGTTTTCCTTTATTTATGGACTTGCAGCACTGAATCACCTGAGCACATCTGGGATGGCACAGGCTACACATCCATATGGCTCATTCCCTCAGACTGTGTGTGGTGAAGGGAAAAGGGCACATTGCACAGGCAAGCATAAAACTTCCCTTGAGAGGGCTCCTATTCTTGTACTTCAGCTTTTTGTTTAATCAGGAGAAAAACTCTGAAAAAGAGGGAAAAGCAGCCCCACTTTCCTCTGTGAAGGCACTCTGCATGCAGAGAGCAGCACTGCAAGTTTCCATCACAGCACTGGGTTCATGTGCCAGTGTTCCCCAGGCAGGAGAGGCACCCTGGGGAGGGAGAGGGAGCTCTGGAGACTACTCAGAGCAGGCAGGGACTGCAGCAGGAGGGTCTTGGGACAGGACAGAAGCTGCATTGGCTTCTCTGCTTTGCCCAGCAGTGACATTTCCTGACTTTTTAAAGCCCAACTACAAATACAGTGTTGACAACACACAGAGAGAGGAAGAGAGGAGGAAAATAAAACCCCAGCAGAGAAATCCTATCCAGACAGGCTGCAAGAATGAGACAAACCTGGAAACTGTTACCATCCTTCAGATTACTCAGGCAGACAGTTTTATATTCCCTTATTTAATATGATGGCTAAGTGGAGAGAGAGCAGAGTGAAACCTGGGGACAGAGCATGACATCTAAAAGAAGGAATTTCAGCTTAGGCAGAGTCAAAACCAATACCTCACCAACATGTGCTCTGCCTTACAACCTCTGTTTACATTTTTATGCTGCCTTTGCTTCATCAAAGGCAGCATTTCAAATCAAACATGGAAGCTGCACAACACAAACTATGTGAGCTGAAACCAGCCATTCCCCACAACAGAATTAGCTTTAAAAAGCTCTAAAAGAAATGCAAAAGAAAAGAGAAACTTTACAGTGAAGATCTTGTGCAACACAGTATCATCATCATCACCATCACAGTCACAGAATGAAAACTGAAATTCAAACCCAAAGTGTATTTCCTACTCATGTGAGAGGAAGGTTTCTCTCAGCACAGGCAGAAAGCTGCAGTCTACTGCAAATAATCAACAGTGCCCTCCTGACTCCATGGTGTTTTGGGCCAGCCCAGATCTTCCTATGGAATTTACTCTCCCAGGGCTGCTCCTGTTATTAAACAAGGACTGAAGGCTGTGGGCATGGGGACAGGATGGAAGAACTCTTTATATGGAAACAACTGTTCCAGTTAAAAAAGTAAAGTTTCCGGTATCACAAAAATCCAAAGAGTTGCTGTGAGATTAGAAGACTTAATTTGGAATAAATAAATGTCCAGGAAAGAGTTTCAGCAGAGAAAAGGACTGGCCAACACAGCGATTTTATAAAGTGATACTCTTGTAGCAGCACATCTCTGGCAGTAAGCTTTGGTTCCAGCAGCAGCATTAATATTTCAGAAGAAGGTGGGGTTCTCTTAGCCAAGCCAGTGCCCATCCTCTCAGCAGCAAATTTGCTCAGCAAACAGAAGGGTTTTGTGCTGCCCACATGGTGCAAATCGGGGTCTGAAGGCTTCAGTCAACAGGGAATGGGCACAGTGAGGCCATGGGAAAGTGATAATCCAAGACTGAAAGTTGTCCCAGATCTAGGCAAAAGTTTTGGCCAAAACCAACTGTTGTTTCACATCTGCCAAGTGCTCATTTAGTGTCTCTCATAGACAGTGGGAATGTGGTTATCTGAATTTTTAAAGTCTTTAAAATTGTCCTATGCATAAGAAACATTTGGTATTTACAGACTATACCCAGTATATTTATAAATATGCTACTTACAGTCGTTTGATTCCAGATTCAGGCTGAGTTGAGGGTTTGGGCTGAATTATGGGTGTAGGCTGAGGGGTTCTAGTTTCTTCTTCCATTTCCTCACTTGAAAGAAAGAAAAGATCATTAATGTTCTCCTCCCAAGCCATGGAAGCACTTTGAGATCTACAATTCAATCTGAGGTAGCACTGCTGATGAAGGGATGCAAAAAGATCTGTTCAAAACCCTTACAAATCAATTGAAGATTTTTTATCAACCAAGGATCAGCACCAAGAACTGAGTCTCCATTCAATATTTTCTTCCCATTGTGTCAAGGAGAGGGAGAAGAGGAATGGATTGAATAAAAAGTCTAGAATTTTCATTTTAGACCCACCCCTATCCTTATTTTTGAAGTTTACATGTATTAAATGTTTGTAATCTTTCTAGGATCCAGGGCAGACCTGGGAGTTGGGGAAGGACAAGTTTGAGGTACCAGGTTCAAACTGGGGCTGCATTCCTGCAGTCTCTGCACAAGCCTTTGCAGAAACACCAACTTGGACACAACTTCAGAGCACATTTATTGTTTCTACACCTGCCCTGTGGCTCCCTGAGTGTATCATCCAACAGGAGAGGAGATGTAACCCACCTTTTGTAATATAAAAGCTCCTCTTGAAGCAAAAACACTCTGGATTTCAGTTCATTCCTCTCATGAAGGACGTCCCGGAGCTCCTGCAGGGTGAATCTTGGGCGATTGGGATCTTTCAGGTCCATTGCCATCTTCTCTGAGTCAGAGAGACAATCATCATTGTTTGGTTCAGCCTGGGGAGTGAAATGTGGGCTTTAAATTCACTGTCCAATTCAAATGTCCAACTTTTGATAAGTCTGCTTTAGGAATTCATACTTTTAACAAATGGAGTAAATCAAACATCAGTTATTTATCTAAACACTGAAAAAATGGGATGGCAAAGGTCACACAGTTCCTTCCAGCTCCTCCCATAAAGAGGTGTCTTCTTCTAATGTAAACATACAACGATGAAAAACCACAAGGTTCTGGGAAGGGTGCTTGGAATTGAGATTCTGAAAAGCAGCTCCAAGCCTTAAGAGGTCTGCAGGATTAATAACAATACAAACAAATGCAGGACACTCTGTTCCAAGAAAACACATTTGAAATGTAGCAAAGTCCATTTGAAATGTGATGCTTTTTGCAAGGACTAATAGAGGCCAGCACATGAAATCAGAGCTGTCAGGAGCCAGGTCAGCCACTCACCCCTGTGGGAGGATGCAGAGATCAGAGTCTCAGAGCTCCTGTGTGGCAGTGACAGCTTGCTGGGATACCAGCTGGAAATTTGAGGAGTTGAGTAGTGAAATTCCTACACAGTACATTTCTTGTAATCCTGACTCTACCTCCTTCTAAGCTCCTGTTTGTGAAATGGTTTTGCAATAGACTGGTCCATGGTTTCAGGCTGAACTTGGCTAAGGCTGCTGCAAGGTGAATTTCAGGTGAATTCAGTGCCTGCCCTGCAGGGATGAGGCAGCAGAGCAATGCTCACTCGGGCACTGTTTGATCACCCTTTTCACCCAAGCACATTCCTTTGCAGAGACAAATGGAATAAAGATTGATGCAACAAGAGGTTCAAAGGAAATAACCCAAACACTTTCCCTCCTCTTCACCCCCTAGGTGTGGGTCTGAACTGGTGTCTCTCCTTTTGGTTGTGTATTTGTCCCACATCTCTGCCCAAAGAAGCTATTTTTGCTAGATTTGGCTCAAATCAGCAAAGACTGAGCAGCCTGTACCCGATGCAAATGTCCTTGACTGGGGCCAACAAGCCATGGCCATTCTGGAGCATGCAGCTATTCCAGTTTTCTGCTTCCACTGCAGCTCCTGTGTGAGCTCTGTCCTGGCAGAGGGAGCAGGGACGCCTCTAATGAGAGGAGGCACCATTGCCATGGAACTGATGAGCTGGAGAGAGGTGAAGAATGCATCCTTTCTCTGCAGACACTGGGGACACTTTTATCCTGCTGGCTCCAGGCCTGGGCTCCCCAGCCCTGTTTACAAAGCTGGGTGTCCTGGCTGAATTAACAGCAATGAAATAATCCTTTTCATCATTAATACAGTGCTTGCCCAGCTCAGCTGTGATATGGTAACACAGCATTGGCTGCCACATTCCCAGGGGACCAGGGACCCCATCAGCACTTGTCTCTGCTTTGTGATGTGTGTTCCTGACATGGGTATTTCACTGGATGTTTCACTGGATGTTTCACTCACTGCTGCAGCCTGGCAGGCATTTACCATGGAGCTCTCACCAGTGCATCAAGCTGAACAGCTCTGTGTGATAGAGCTCCTCTAATTCTTGAATATCATTACACCCCTTATTGCATTTCCTACTCTGCTGAGAGCATCATTAGGAGAGGGAAATGCAGTACATTTGCTTCAGGAATAAAACAGTAATGTCATAGGCACAAAGGGAAATATTAGGAACCATAAAGAGGACTCAGGGATCAACAGATCAGTGCATCTTTTTCTCAGGAAGCTCCCCTCAAATTTGCATTCCTGCTGCTCTGATCTCAGCCCAGCTCCATTTGCAGACTGTCACTTTGCCTGTTCTGCAAGAACCTGGCTCTGCCAGCAGGAATGTTTGCTTTTCATGAACATCTGTGCTCACAACACTTCACTGCACAAATTCTAATGGGAAGCAAAAGCAGAAATAAGGCCAAAGTTGGTTCCTCTAAAAAGTACCTTGAAATATTTATGTATTGATTTGGTAGCACTTAACCAGCTTAGTCCTGGCTGATCTGGAGTGCCATGAGAACTGCAGGGACCAGGTGTGCAGAGCTCTGCCCTGACTCTGGGACCACTTCTGGCAGTTTCTGTTCCACTCTGGTTCAGCTGCCACCACCACCCCTGTGCACCCTGTGATCCATCTGGCTTTGAATATTTGCAGATCTGGCAAAGCTGAAGCTACTCCTGGCTTTTTGTCTTTGGAAAACCCAGACCCTGCAAGGAATTGGTTTGTTTACTTTGGGGGAAGGGGTAGGTGTGTACAAAGAAAATGAAGCAAACACGCTACCACAGCCAAAATGCAAAGGGGTGCTTGGTATGAAGTCCAAAGCTTTTTAAAAGGCTGCTCAAAAAGTGATTCAAAGCGCTTTTACCTTTGCTTCCTCCCCATTTTGGCTGGCCTGGCTGTCCTCACCCTGCAGCTTTTCTCTGAGCTTGCCCAGCTCAGCTTTGAGGTTGCCCATCTCCTGCTCCTTGGTTTGCAGATACGCTTCCAGCTCCACCTTCTGCTCGATCAGCGCCTTCCCCTGCGCCTCAACCACCGTGATCCTGTGCCTCAGGTCGTGGTTGATCTTCATCAGCCTGTTCTGCTGCTGCTGCAGCTGCAAAACATCCATGCAGGAGCTCAGTGGCCATCCAGCCATGAGCCATGATGGCCCAGTCTCAAATATCTTGAAGCAATGGGTTCCTGTTGCATTTAATCTGAAAAATTCCCCACCTCTCCTCAGCCCCAGATTAGTTTTTCTAATATCTAATTGTCTACTACAGTTTCAATCACCCAAATTTAATTGATTTCTAGAGTAAATTCCCCTAGCACAGGGAGTTTTTCAGATAAAAGCAAATCCATCACTTGTGATATTAATTCAAGGATAGGGTGGCTTATGGGATTCTGAATCAAATCTTAACCCAGGGGAGAAGAAAGACAAGACAGAGGAATCCTCAGTGTTCAGTTTATAGGTGCTTTGCTTTGAGCTCCAGGCTCTCTCCTGAGGCAGATGTGACCTGCTGGCTGTGTGTGGACAGCCCCAACTCCAAAGGCTGCAGCACCTGCCAGAGGCATTGGGCAGAGCAGAGATCACCCAAGCCTGGCCTTACCAGCACCAGGAAAGTCCCATGGCCTGAGGACATGAGGCAGTGTGAAGAATGGGAAGCAAAATGTGGGTAAGGAGGTCATTGCACAGAAAGTGCCAAATCTCATGTCATGCCTGGAGTCACAGAGGAGTCTGTGACTCATCTGAACAGGTCACTGCAGGCCCTGCTCATGCAGAGAGATCCACACTGCATCCCTGGTGTGGGGCTGCACTGAAGCCTGACCATTCTGGACACTCCACAGCTCTGCTGGACACTTCAGCTGCAGGACCATTAATCCAGCACTGTTTATACTTTCTATATTAACTTAAAACTCAAAACCAGGCTGTGGAAGTGTGGGTGAGAAAGAACAGAAATAGGAAGACCAAGAGCCACTTACAGCCTCTACATCCTCATTTTTGAGTCCAAGTTCCCGGTCCTTTGCCCTGATTTCATCCCTCTGTTTATCAACCACTTCCTTCAGCTTCTTCATGACTTGCCGCTCTCTCTCTGACATTCCTGGTTAAAAAAAGAACACAGAACACAAACTGAGGGCAGGCAGGAGCTGCTGAGCCTGAGAACAATAACAATGAGGAATATTTAAGCAGACTCTGGAAGTTGCCTGCTGGTAGAATTACAGAGATGCTTTAGAGGTTACCTCAAGGGTAACAGAGAACACAGATGACAGAATCCACTCCATAAAGCCCCTGCACAGAGACTCCTTAAAAAAGGAACTGACATTCCTCAGAAACATTTCTAACAGTGAGTGACACTGCTGCATCTCCCTGCCTTAGTAGTTTTACGTCAATGTTCACACCATGCCCCAGGGAGCTTGGTTATCTCTGTGATTATCTCTGGCATCAGCTGGCCAAGGCCTTGAGAAAATTGTAAAAAAGATAGTCTGGATCTTCAGTAAGATGTAAACAACACATCACTGTTGTGGATTGCATCTGCATCCAAACCAGCTGAGGAGACTGATTTTTAGTTAAAATCCAGTTTTGTGTTTGGAGAAAAAAAGGTGAAACAGGACCTTCAGAGGGTACCCCCACCCGGAATGGAGAATCAAAATTTCTGAATTATGGTCACATATTTTCTCCTCATGTTTTGCCACCCTTTTCCCATCCTATTGTATGGTAATTCATATTTAGAGTAATTGTACTTGAGAGAAGAATACTTGATAGCATTACACTGGTGAAAGGAGTTTGGAACATTGCCAAGAATCCAACACTGATTGTATCTGAAAATAAAGAAAGGGTTATATTAACCTTAAATCTAATCAATGAATCATTAGGAAATGTTATAAACCACAGGAAGCATTCTTCTATTTGCCATTAGAGAGATCTATAACTTGGACCTGGCACTGCAGTGATGGACTCCTGAGAGCAGACACAGAGCAGAGGTTTTACCTTGGTGAGTTGATGAATCTCCTGCCCTGAGACTGGCACAGAGATGTGCAGTTTGATGGTCCTGAACTATCACATGAAATCACACTGCACAACATGCTTGAAGATGCAAACCCTGCAGGGCAGTGTGAGGCTCCCCTGGCCAGAGGCCAGCCCAAGCAGGAGCTCAAATCCTGCTGATAACTCCACTCACTTTGGCAAAGTCCTTTGTTATGTGAGTCTTCAGCTTCTTCCATTTGTGAACTGCAAGTGGTGCTGATGCACTCCCCGTTCTGGGCTGGCTGCAAAGCTGCTTCCTTTTCAATATATTAAAGCAGCTCCCACATCAGAAATATTCTCTGTATGCATTAAATGTATCCAGCCAGGAAAGGCTCTACTTTCTAACATCAGCTCAGACTTCCTGGTTTTGTTCTTCCCTCATCAGAGAAATCCAGAGTTGTTCCCACAAGAGAAATTAGCTGCATGTCTGTAGGACTCCAGCTCACAGGTCAGCTACAGAATGAACTGATGGAGAGCAGAGCAGAGCAGGACAAAGCTCAGAGAAGGAAAAGGAGAACTGGTGGATGTGCACTCCTGCACAGCTCTGGGCTCCCATGCAGGCAGGGAGGAACCAGAGCAAACAGGGAGCAGCAGCTCCAATCCCCAGTGCTGAAGGAGCAGAGCTGTGGTTCTGCAGAGAACAGGGAACTGCTCTGCTGGGAGAGCACTGCTGCTCATGGCTGGCCAGGAATTTGGTTCCCAGGACATGTTCCTGGCAAACCCCAGCAAAGAACTGTCAGTGACATGGTGTTCACTTTCTAGTGTTACACTCTCACCCCTTTTAATTCTGTGGTGCATTTGCCTGCTCTATTTCTGGACCCTGGTTTTTATCAGCTCTGTGCTGCTCTGGGTTCTAGTTTTTCACAGGATAATTTTAATTCTTTGCTGCGGTACCAGCTCATACCTACCAGGGAGAACAAGTGCCACAAACACAAACTGCAGATTAACTGTTCTAAAAGATCCACATTCCTCTCTCACAGCACAGAAGTGGCACTTCCCTGCACCCAAACCTCACTGCAGCCAATCTCAGGGCTGGGGCCTGAAACATCAGCTGCATTTAAAACCAAAATAATCCAAAACTTTGCCTTGAAGTAGAGTGACTGCAGTGAAACTTCAGACTGGTGGTTTCACTCAGAAGGAGGTAGTGAATGCAGCTGTGTCCATTAGCACTTGTGAGATGCTTTGAGATCTCTAGATAGCAGGTGCTATTTAAAGAAAAAATACAATTCAATGCTGACTACTTTTCCTCCCACTGTGCTCATTTTTTTTGAGCTAACATTTGGTGAGCCTAAAAGGCTTCAATTGTGTGCACAGATCACTACAATTTTTATTTCAGGAAGTGGGGGGGGAAGGAAAGGTGGGGAATTTTATGAAACAGTCACATCTCCTTCCATTTCCTCATGCACTGGGAAAGAGGAGAGGGAAATCACTAAGTGCCCTAAATGTAAAATAATTATCTCTAAATGGTTCAAACGTTAATAAATGCAAGATCTTAAATGGCACACCCAGCCAGCTTCCCCAGGCACATCCTATGAGCAGTTTCCTGTGGTTTGCTGTGATCCTGGTGTTGTTCCAGCAAGAGAATGGAGAGCAGCTGGAGGGGAGGACACCAAGAAAAGAAAGAAAAAAAAAAGAAAAAATATATTCTTTGTGTGTTAGTGACCTGTTCAGTGCTGTGTCCATACAGCTTGGCAGAGTTGTGCCAGGCAGAGCCTGTGGCACTGCAGCATTACCTAAACACTCAGCACAAGTTCAATGTCCCTTTTGAGGGGAGCTGTGGGTCCTGCAGCACGGCAGGGTCCCACAGGTGCTGCTGCCTGTCCCTGAGCACAGCCAGGCTGAGGCAGCAGCTCCCCTGCAGTGGCACAGAGCCTGCTCGTCCTGTTTGACACACTTGGGTCAAGTTTGCATCTGGCATTTTCCTGGGATATTCCAATCACTCAGCACCATCAAGCAGGGCTCTGTTTGGGCTTGGGAGGAGTCACTTTAATGGGGGTTAGAGGCTCATCTCAACCCCTCCCTTGTGTTCTGTGTTCTGCTGTCACAGGTCCTGTCACAGGATCCTGCTCTGCTCAGATCACTCCTGTTTGCACAGAACTGCCTCTGCCATGAACCCTTCATCACACTCAAACAAGGCTCTGAGAATTAACTGGCAGGACTGACTCCCAAGGCCTTGCACACCCAGATCAGTGCCTCTGCTGCCTGTGTGAAATCACCCCTGTCGCTGTCTGGTGAGTGAGCAGTGAGCTCAGGGGAGATGGGATCACAGTGCTCAACCAAGCTCAGACAGCAGCACTGCAGTCTGCTCAAAATCAGTGCAGCTAACACAGGATTGAGCCTGAAATGATGCCTCTCTGGCCTCTACATCAGACCAAAGGACAGAGACTGAAAAAGAGCAGAACTGCTTTCTGACACTATCCAAACAAGTAATCTGAGACAAATCTATCCCTGCTCATTAATGACAATATGTCCTAAAAGAAAACCAGTCAGGTTTGATATAATAGATCCAAATAATTAAATGGGGTTGATAGAAATTAAAAGATTTCACTTAAACTGAATATTTTGGCCAAAGAATATCAGTGATCTCAGCCTAAGCTCTGGAATGGGCTTATGGGTTTTGTTTGTGTTGTCACACATGGGTAGACACAGTAAAAATAACAAGGAAAGCACGTCTGGCATCTGCCTGGCTGGATGTGAGGAGTGTGGCTATATTTAAATGCAAGCACATGAGCTGCAGTGAGCTAGACGGCCACTGAAAGGGAAAAAAAGAAGGAGAAAAAAAAAAGAAAACAAAGGGGAAGCTGGTTCTTTGTAACACAATGTCAGTCTTCATGGCCCATGACTCATTGCTGCCATGCTGAATTTTGCATGGAGTTTGTCAGCCTGATGTTGAGCTACTTCTTTGCCACTAATTGACTCCTAATTTGAAAGCATTGCATTTGTTTTAAAAAATATCTTGAGAGGTTTAACAATTTTTACTTTTTGAAGGTTTAATTATGCATTTCCCCAGTGCAAGTGAGCAGCACTGAGCCTCAAGGAGAGAGGGAGTGCAGCTTCCACAGTGCTGGGCAGAGTTTCATCCCCCTCCAGCAAAAGGAGAACCCAAACAGAGATAGACCAAAAGGTGTATCTAGACTTTACTTCCAGAGGTGCTTCTCAGCCAAACAAAAAGTTGGTTATGTTTCCCTCATTCTCCCACTTCTTATCATGTCTTCAGTGTCATATGTTTTCAGAGATTTTCTATTTAGGTAAAAAAACCCAATAAACAAACAAGCCCTCAAAATCCAGATCTGAATTAATCTATGGGGGAAAACCACACCAGAATATCCAGTCAAAGTATTTTGATTAAGTATTTCTTTTTGTAACAAAGCAAGGACTGAATTTGAGGTAGCAAACTTGCCTTCATGCTTCTGAAATTCCTCTTCTGTGAAATTAATGTCTTTGTGAGACAAGTTTGTCATCAGTTGTTTATTCTCCTCCTGGAGCTGTGCAATTTGGGTGAGAAGATCCTGTGCTTCCCCTCTCCAGACATCCTCCACCAGTTCTAATTCCTATAGGGCAGACCAGGACAAGACATTCATATTTTAAAACATGTAAAGAGTCTTTGACTGGGCAATTTACAGATCAAACTACAGATCCTACTGATTCTTATCGAAAGCAATTAAATAAGACTACTTTTGAGTTTCTTAGAAGACATCTGCTTTTTTAATGCCACCACCAGGAAACCACCACAGCCCCCTTTGCTACATCTGAATGGAAATAGCTGAGGGGATCATTCCTGATGAAAAGAAAGTTACCCAAAGGATGGCTCCTCGTACCCTGCTGTGCTGTGAGGACCAGATTAAGGGTCCAATAACCAAACACCAGCACCAATTCCCTCCTGCACCCCAGGAAGCAGCTGCAAAGCTGTTAGAGAGCCCCCAAACCACCCCACAGCAGGGCCAGGAGCTCAGGGATGGACAAACTCCTGACACAACAGCCTGGTCTGAATTCCTGCCATGAAACACAAGTGCAAATTGATGAGTGTGTGATCCAGTGCAGCTCCTGGTGCACACAGTGAGCACAAACCCAACCCATGCTGCCTCCCATGTAAATTGTCCTGCTGGAATGTCCCGTGTTAGTGCAGCCAGGCCAGCCAGAACAGCTCCCATTTGTTGGGACACTCTGTGTCAAGAGCAGCTGTCACCAATCCTCGTGAAGGTCAAGTCAGGACAAAAAAGAGAAAGTCCTTAAGGAAAACAGTTGTATTTAGAACCTTGCTTGTTCCAAAAGCTTCTCTGTATATCTCACTTCTGCAGAGGGGGGCATTCCCTGCTCCATTTTCACTTATGCTCTTCAGACAAAAAGCTGCATGCAGATCCCTGGAGCCAGGCTGAGTCACTGCTGACTTTCACATCCATCCACATGCCCCTTTCCTACCTAACAACACAACACATTCACACAACAACCCAGCCAAGCACAGCTCCAGGCTAAAATAAGCTCTGCTGAGAGATTAAAGGATAGCTCTCTGCTTTGAATGCATGCTCTGATAATGGGAAGTCCTGTTCCTGGTGACTTTCTGGCCAAATACCATTTTATTCCAGCATTTATTACTGTATTGCTGCTGAAAGTGTTGCAGAAAACATTAGGTGGCAAAGGTAATAAATAAATAGCAAAGGTGTGGTAAGCTACACAGAGTTAAGTATTAAAAAGGAAAAAAAAATGTAATTAATCACCTATTTTACCTGAAACTCTTTATCTTACAAAGTCTATAATGAAATTGCTATTTCCAAAAACCTGGATTATTTACAGTGATGCTGCCTGTTACAACTCTGTAGCTAAAATAATGCAGTGACCTATTTTAGCAGTAAACCAGCACATTCATCACTTCCAAGCATATTGATAAAACCAAAATAGAATGCACACAAACCCCAAACAAGCTAAACTTATATCATTTATATGTGGCTGCACTGTAAACACACAGCCATGCCAGGTTTGCCTAGGCAAACTTTGTCATTTATTACTATTGAAGAGCCAATGAATTGGAGCAGAAATTAACTTTTGAGTCCTCATTAGTGGAAGTAGCAGACAAGGAGGCACATCCACGGCCAGGCAGTGCCAGCCAGCTCAGGAAGCCCCAGGCAGTGGGTGCTGAGCCAGGTTCACAAGCAAAACAGATTCACACATAAATCTTAAATCTGAAATCTCAAACTGATGCTTGCAAGGACCACTAAAAGCTTTTCTGGGTGTTTCTTGGAGGGTTTGACATCAAAAACTGTTTCTCAGTAGGTGATTTTTTCTGCTTATCAGCACCTGTCCTGTGAAAGTCTTCAACCCTCACACTGGAACAGAGCAGATGAGAGACCACAGTTCTGTAGGGACCTGGTGCACTGGGAACCAGCTTGATTTAAAAAAATAAAAGGTATGTATCATGCAGTTTATTTTCCTGTTAAAATCTGTTTAGACTGAAGTAAATTGTTTAAACACTCCCTGAGCCACTTCATGACCCTCAGAGAAGCTGACAGAGCTGAGGTGGTTGACTGGCAGGGAGATCAGCTGACACGTTTAGGAAACTTTTTAACACTTACAAGAACTTCAGAAACATCTCCACAGAACAAGTTGTACAATGACACTGGGTCAGTTCTGTATCTGCTTCATCCCCAGCCTTTGGTAAATATCCAACATATTTGTATCTGTTCTCTGGACCTTCTTTTATCATACTCTTGAGACTTATCAAGGCTTTGTACATTAAAGGTCTTTTACCTTCCTTTTCAGAGACGTTGCCCTGAGACTTCCTCTGCAAAATGTTGCAAGGTTTATCCTGGATTTCCCAGGTGAAAGTCCTTTAGCTGACTCTTTTTGAAATATAAAACTGGGATTTATCCAGTTAAGCCAAATCTTGAAGTTTGGGGTCTCTCTTCCATAAATCCTCTGTCTCCTGTTTATCCTGATTCTATGTGTGGAATCAGGAATGGCATGAGGCAGCAGTGGTGATTTAGCATAGTCATTTACCAGAACCATTTCTTATATCAGTTATCTGGATGGTTTAAAGAGCAGATCTGCCACTTTTACTGCAGTTACTGGAGCTTGCTGTCCTGCCATGAGAGGCTGACAGGGTATGGGAAATGCTCTCTGCCTCGGGCTTTAACAGGAATGGGGTCAGGGAACACTGTGACCACCCCAAAACAAGCCAAGGGACATGTTGCCATCAGAGGATGGAGCAGCAATCTGGCAGAGTGCTCTTCCCTACTCTTCAGCTCCAACTCTGCTCTGAAATCACTTGGTTCTCCATCTCTCTCCTATGACTTGTCTAACCCGAAGTCTGTTCCAGGAGAACTAGACTGCTAAATCATTCCCAGCCCCGGAGAGGAAAGTGTATTTATTCTTGTCAGTGACCTTTCCTGGCCTAGCAGGAAGCAGCGCTGTCCCTCCCCAGGAGAGGGGATGGAGCGGGAGCCCGAATGGGCCAGCCACGGGGGAAGGAAACGCAGTGACCGGGGAAGGGGTGGAGAAAGGGAAGGAGGGAGGAAACTTCCAGCAGGGAAGGAAACAAAAAACAACAACACGCCCAAAGCCTCGGCGACGCTCCGGCAGCATCCGCGCAGAGCCGTGAGCCGCCCGGGCCGCACCGCACGCGTGCCCCGCCCGCTCCCGCACCCCGGCCCCGCTCTTTGTGCTCCCGGCGGCGGCGGGGGGAGAACAGCGCCGGGGGGCCGAGCCCGAGTCCCCCGAGCGGCTGCGGCAGGCGGGGGCAGCGCTGCCCCGCCGCGCCCCCGGCTCCCCGCCCGCACCTTCTGGTGCTTCCTCTCCTTCTCGATGCGGTCCATCCTCTCCAGGCGCAGGCGGTCGAGCTCCAGGCGCAGCTCCTCCATCTCGGGGTTGATGTGGTTGCGGCTCACCAGCACCTCCAGGATCTCCAGCACCCGCACCACCTTGGGCATGAGGCGGGCGATGGCCTCGCAGCCGTGCTGGTCGATCACCCGCTCAAACTCCTGCCCCACGGCCGAGGCGATGTCGTACACGTCCATGACCGTCAGCTCCGCCGCGTTCTTCTCCAGGGCGGGCGGCACCCCGCCGCCGCCGCCGCCGTCCATGGCTCGCCCGGCCCCGCGGCGCCCGCATAGGCGGCGGCGGGGCGCGCTCCGGGCGGGGCGGTCCCCGTGCAGCCGCTGTCCCGCGCCCGGGCCGCGGCCCCCGGCAACTCCCGCGAACTCCGGGCGGCTCGGCCGGGGGTGTTTAAACTTGGCCGGGCGGCGCTGGGGGAGCGGCGGCGGGAGGCGGGCGCGGCGTCCCCGCCACCACCGCCCCGCCGCCCGCGGCCAATGCCCGGCGCAGGGCGGGCCGGGGGCGGCCCCGCGCATGCCCGCGGCCCCCGCGCATCCCGGTTACCGGGACCGGCCCCGCATGCCCGCGGCCCCCGCGCATCCCGGTACCGGGACCGGCCCCGCATGCCCGCGGCCCCCGCGCATCCCGGTTACCGGGACCGGCCCCGCATGCCCGCGGCCCCCGCGCATCCCGGGACCGGGACCCTCCCCGCCAGCCCGAGGCGCGGGGGATGCCGCTGCCCCGCGGGACTTCGCTTGCGGTGGGGAGAGGAGCATCGGCAAGGGCGGGCGCGCTTCGCTCGGTGCTTGTCCCGCCGCAGCGGGAGGGCTCTCGGTACCGATCCCTCCTGCGGCCCCGTCCGGGGGGGAGAGCCGCGAGTTTGGGGGGCAGAGCTCGGAGCCGCCCGGGCTCGCGGTTCGGGTCCCGCACGGACGATGGAGCGGTTCGCAGGTGTGACTGTGAATGTTTGCATGTTCTTATTTCCATAGGGTTTAGGAAGAGATGCTCCAGATGAGTCTCTACAGATAAGCTAAATGTGCCTGGAAATAATTTTAGGTCCCAGTTCTGCCATTTGCTATATGCAGAGTAGGAATAATGCATTTTATTTTGGACAAGATATGATGAGTAATACCAAACACTGGAACTAGTCAGGAGAAATAGCAGTGGGTCTGCAAAAGCCAAGCCTGGAATGATTTGACACTTGCTGCATGTTGTGAATACAGCATTAATTATCTACTTTTGGCAGATGTAAAACGCCCGTGTAGGTGAATGGGAGGTATGAACGGTGAGAAATGTAACACTGTAGCACCGGAAATGCAACACTGTGACACCAGAACAGCTTTTTAATGCAATTCTGTCACAACCTCGTTCTGCCGCCAAAATATTGATCTTTTCATGTGCTTTCAGTAGGCAGCCAGGAGGGAAACAATCAGTCTCCAAATATCTGAGCCTGTCGATCAATTGCCTAAGTTACAGCAATAACTCAGTGAAAATATATATCTATATAACATTCATGAAACTCATTCCCGAAGTTGAACACCACAAGATATTGCACAAAGTTCCAGGGAGAGCAGGGGGATGAATAATGGTGTAGTCATCCTTTCCTGGCAAAGGTGCTTACACAAGGAGGAGGAGCAGCCTGAGCAGAATCTTGGAGAGCACTCTGCAATACCTCAGGGGAGCAGCTATGCTGTGAAATCATCGTTTTGCCCAAGTTAGAGATGAGAAAAAGTTTTTGCCACAAGAATTTGGTACTGCACGAGTGCCTGTTGTTCTGTTCAAGCGTGGGTAGAGGAAAAATACAACAATGTAGGGAACATCTGTGGAAAGACCAGAACTACAGCTGAGAAAGGTGAAAAACCAGCACAGTTTGTGTATGGGAAGCAGCAGATTTGATGTTGGCCTGATCCAAACTCATGGAAAATGGCTTGGCAGGAAAAGTCTCTCATCCAGGCATGTGTGTGACCTGCAGCTCCTCAGGCTCAGCCTGTCTGGCAGATTTTGTCCACACTTGTCCCCACCCTGTGCCTGCCCTGACACGGCAGCTCTGCCGGCCCACACCTGGAGCAGAATGTGCTGATGGAAATCTGCCATTTGTGCACATAAACTTGTCTGGGTGTCACCAGGCTACAACAACCGCGCTTATTGGCAAAAGCAATGTATAAATATTTCAGTGGAAAGCCAGATTGTGTGTTAGTCTTTAACTCTTCCCCACATCATTAAAACAGCTAGTCATGAAACAGGCTGCCTTGAGCTCAAGTATTAGCTTCGTATTTCAGTTTGGGAGGTTTAATTGGAAATTAGCGCTTAAGCATGGTCATGCAAGGAATGGGTTTTTAAACAGTTACTCTGGGGTGAAGCAGAAACTGGACGTGCCATGACTGTGTTTCCTTAAGCGTGAATAGCCCACAAGCTGGGCTTCACTATTAACATCTTAAACATTGGCTGCTCCCCAAACATCTCCCTCACTGCAGCAAGTTCTGATTTCCCAATTTTAGCAGCAGCCTCGGCAGCGGTGACAGCCGCGGTGACAGCCGCGCTGCCTTGCTCCCGCCTGCCCTCATTGCCCCCGGAGCCGCCGGGACCCCTCAGGATCCGCCGCCCCCATCCCCTCAGCCGCCGTTTCCCGCCTCCCGCGCTCTCCCCGCCCCGCCGCGTTGCCGGGCAACGCCCCCTCATTCCCGCTTCTCGTTCTGATTGGCTCTCGCCGCCACCGCCCCGCCTTTTCTCCCCGCTCATTGGCTGCTCCCGCGCGTGGGTCCCGCCTCCCGCGCCGCGCGGGCGCTGCCTCAGCGCCTAGGCGGTCCCGCTGCCCTTTGTCTCCCGGCGGCCGCCGTAGCGCAGCCCGTACGTGGCAGCGGGGCGGTGGCGGCCAATGAGCGGCGGCCCCGTGCGCCGGAAGGGGCGCGGCGCGGGCCGGAAGCGCCGCTCGGTGCCGCCGCCGGTCGCTCCGCCATGTCGCCGGTGCGGGCGGTGCTGGCGCTGGTGGCCGCGCTGGCGGCCCCGGCCGCCGCCTACTTCGTCAGCATCGACGCGCACGCCGAGGAGTGCTTCCTGGAGCGCGTGCCGTCCGGCACCAAGATGGGGCTCATCTTCGAGGTGGCCGAGGGCGGCTTCCTGGACATCGACGTGGAGGTGCGGCGGCGGCGGCGGCGCGGGCCGACCTTGGGGAGCGGGGCCGGGCCCGTGCGCTTCGGCCCTGCCGTGTGCGGGGGCCCTCGGGAGCGAGCGGGGAGCGGGGCCGGAGCCGCCCCCGGGCCCGGGATGGTCCGAGCGGGGCCAGGGCGGGCTCCGGGCGGGCTCGGGGCGGTCCCGCCGTGCCGCGGGGGCTCCGTGCGGCGGCGGCGCTCAGGGCTCAGCGTGGGCGGCTCGGGCGGGCCCGGTGCCCGTGCGGTGCCACCCCCGGCTCCGCCGCTCCAGGCTCGGTCGGGCTGTTCCCCCTTCCCGTGGGGATTCCGCCCCCGCCGCGCTCGGTGCAACCCCGGCACCGGGAATTGTGTGGCGGGAGGAGCGCCCGCGGTTGCTCTGGAATCGGTGCTTCCCCTTGAACTGAAGATGTTGTCTCTAATCCCGGTGGTTGCATCGGGGAAGTTCTGAGCCAATTCTGATCTTCAAATAGGAATCGAATCAGGAGATGCCGAGTACGAACTGATTTAATCTGTTAGAGAGCAGAGAGGGTTTTGTTCGGGATGTCACAGATGTGGGAGCTGTTGCTGAGAGCCCTGTAGCAGTTGGAATGACCCAGGATGGGACACAGGACAGGGCTGGCAGCTCTGAGAGCCGTTCCCGTGTCCCTTGTGGAGGCTCAGCAGCAGTGTGGCCCGGTGGGAGGGGAATTCAGGATCACAGTGACCCGGAGAGCTCAGAACTCAGGTGTTCCCTCCTTTTGAATGGTAACTGCAACAATGCCCGACTGTGTGTCTAAAGTCGATTGGAGAATGGCTTTTTTTCCTTTTTGTTTTCCTTCAGACATCAGAGATAAGGTTTCCCCTGCAGTTGTTAATTTGCCAAAGAGCCAGGCTTTGAGGTTTGCTTGCTCTTGACTCCTTATCTCGACCACAGGAGGCCAGGGAGGGAGGCTTTTGCACAGCTTTCTTTACCAAGAACTTTGTGGGGTTTTATAACAGAGATTTCTGTGTGGGGAGCTGCACCAATGAGTTGTGGGAGGGAGAGATTGGAGTGTGCCAAAGCAGGCAGATTGCAGACGGTGCTGGTGCCTGTGATGGTGCATTTGAGAGCTCTGTGTTTGGATTCAAACCTGTGACCCTCTGTTTTCCCCACACAGATCACAGGCCCTGATAATAAAGGGATTTATAAAGGAGACCGAGAGTCCAGTGGAAAATACACCTTTGCTGCCCACATGGATGGAACCTACAAGTTTTGCTTTAGCAACAGGATGTCCACCATGACTCCCAAGATAGTGATGTTCACTATCGATATCGGGGAAGCTCCCAAGGGGCAAGACATGGAGACAGAAGGTGAGGAAGAGTCCTGGGAGGAGCTCAGCTCCAGTTTGGGAGCCTTTCCCTGCCTGCATGACTTGGGAACTTGAGTAGGGCTCTCAGCATTCCCGTTCCTCCAGGTGTGGTTAGCTGTTCTCCTGCACAGCTAAAGTGGATGTTTTTAGAGCTGGTTACACAATTTGAGGCAAAATCACCAGAGAGGCCCATCTGCAGACACTAATCTTCCATCCTTTAGCCCTTCATCAGTGCCATCCTCTGATTCCTAGCAGGCTCAGCAGAGTGGAGCCTTAGTTGTAAATGTGCTGATAGAAAACTCCTCCCATAGCTGTGTAAATGACTGTATTATCTGCAGCCTTTTGTCCTGTACCTGTGTTCATCTCTCACACTTTCCTCTAGGTGGTGGAGATACCTGGGATGGTATGTGGACTGCTTTTTGAAAGCTCCTTAGCATCTTGTCTCTGGCACATGTTCATTCACTAACAGCTAACTTGGCTTTTTCTCTGTAACCTTGGTTTGGAGCATGGGAATGTCTGTATTTAATAAACTACCCCAAAGGTCTGATTCTGAGCAATGCTGAGCTCCCAGAGGCAGGTTTATACCCTGAGCAGCTCTTGGGATCAGCTCCTTGCACTGAGGGCAGTTTGCCTTCAGTGGTTATTCATGGCTGACGGAGGATTTGATCAGTTTAGGTGAAATTGAGCTAAAACATTGAACATCCAAGAATGCTGGATGTTTTTGGCAGTGCTTGCCTTCTATTGCTAAAGGGGATGTTGAGTAATCAAAAGCTTTAGGAGGCAATAAGCTGCTCCTAGGTTATGAATTATTGCTGATGTGTCAGGGGGAAAACTCAAACTTGTCATTTGCTGTAAAAAAAGTAAATACATTGCCTAGCAAGTTATAAACTTTATTTATAAATCAATGACTGTAGCTAGAAAGGGCAACCAATTCTTGTTTTCTATTTTGGCAATTAAATAACTTGGGCTTGATTGAGTGCTTGATGTCACTTAAAAAACAGCACATTCCTAACTTTGGATTTTTTAAAAGACTCAAATCTTTTATTGAGTCTGCCTATATCTGTTGTAAAGAGTATTAGTGCAATAAGACAATTTCTGAAGTGAATTTTTGGAGTGTTTTTTACACTGTCCCTGCAACTGTAGTTTCTTCTCTTACCAATAAACTGCACTTGCTGCAGTGACCAGCTGGCCATGAAAATAAGGGATTTGAGGTACAGGGAAAGTGAGTGTGGTTTGCACAACTATTGAGATTTTAATTTTAATTGTATGAGTGTCATTCTCTGGTCCTCTCTTTTGACTGTTCCCCACAAGGTGTGTGTTTTGAATACTCTATTTTCAGACTGTGATCTGAAACACTTACAAATAAACCTGTAGTAAGGTAGCTTCCAAGTCAACTGTGTCCTTTGAAAGGAAAATATGTTGGGTTTTGTGACTTTTAAAGAGAGCTGATTGCCCAGGGCGTGTCTGTGGAACCTCAACCTGATGCTAGAGCACTTGGCAAATGCCTTGCCTAATTTATAAATTTGTGATGGGCAGATATTTGAGTGTGGATGTATTAAAAAGATCCTGTGATTGGCAGTCAAACCACTAAATCTGAGATCTCTGAGCCTTCCATTTGCTGACCTGTCTCAAGCTGGTTTTGTGCTGCTGGTTTGGTATTTAACTCCTCTCCTGCTTTCACAACACCACAAGTGAGGGCTGTGCCAGCCCCCCTGGGCATTGTGCCCCCTCAATGCTGGGTTTCAGCTGAGCTTGAAGATCACAGGATGGGATTTTTTGCTTCAGAAAGTGATCTCGTGATTTGCCAGCATCATGATCTTGAGCTAAATTCTCAGTCATTCTATTTTTGCAAGCTTAACAACTAGGAAAAGCTGTCATGTTAAGATAATTTGCTTGGAATATATTGGATGATATTGGCAAAATAGATATTAGTGTGTGGTACTGATCTCGTGCATTCTTCCATTCTGTTCTCCTGGAAAAGTGTGTGCACACTGGAAATGTGGGCTCTGTGCTGAGTCTGAGCTGTGTCTCCTCCTGTTGGATGTGGAGAAATGTTCTCCCACTTGTTAAACACCACAGAGACACGTCAGGGAAAGTGCTACAGAAACTGAGCTTGGCTGTCAGGGTAGGAAGTGTTCAGCTGTACTGCCAGACCTACAGCAGGAAATTACCTTTAACTGCTCATAAATCCATTGAAATCCTTGTCTCCAGTCATTAACAGCCTTTCTGATGCTTCTGAAATTGCTCTGCAGCTCACCAGAACAAGCTGGAAGAGATGATTAACGAGTTAGCAGTGGCCATGACAGCAGTGAAGCACGAGCAGGAGTACATGGAGGTGCGGGAGAGAATACATCGAGCAAGTAGGTGCCAGCCCAGCCACTGCCTTCCCCTCTGCTCTGACCTGGGAATGGGCATCTAAACATCACTCCATGAAAGCTATTCCCACTGACTTCAAAAGTAACCATTTAAATCCTGCAGGGCCTGACACAGAGGAAGGAATGGAGGTGGTGCTTGCAGTCATCTTTAAATTGGCTACCCCTCGTTGTTATACAAAATAACATTTGCTTAAGTGATGTAAATTCTGCACTTGTTTGGATGGTGTATTCATGCAGATACCAGTGATGGTGTTATTTACTCCATGTACAAGGGCAGGGTGAGCCATGGGATGGTTTTAAATTGAAAGGGAGGAGGTTCAGATCAGGTACTGGGGAAAATTCCTGTCTGGGAGTGTGGCACAGCCCTGGCACAGTGTGCCCAGAGGAGCTGTGGGTGCCCAAGGAAGGTGTCCCTGCCTGTGGTGGGGGTGAGATTGGATGAGTTTGAAGGTCCCTTCCAACCCAAACCATTCCATGATCTGGTTCCCAAACTTTGGTTGAACTGTTACTTCACCCTTGAAGTGGATGTGGTTTAATAATTGAGCCAAAATCTTTTTTTAAAATGTTTTGTTGAAATAGAGCAAAACTACTGTTACTTTCATGGGTGAGAATCAAGGGCAAGTATTTTTGATGTGAAAACACAATGTTATATGAAAGCAGTGTTCCCTCAATTATTTGAAGCTATGAATATCTCCAGTTTTGTGACATTTGTTACTAAAAATCTGAATGTTTAGAACCAAAGATGGTGACCCCTCAGAGATCAGCAGTTCCCTGCTTGACTCTGAAAAAGCAGGAGGCTTTGTTTGGCAGTTTAGGGGCTAGAAGGGTGGGCAGAATAGAGACAGATGCTGCAGTATGTCCAAAGTGGGTTTAAAAACAAACTTTTCAGAAAAATCCCCCTCAGATCTCATCTCTGTGATGACCTGGCACAAGCCCAGTGCTTCCTGTGCAATGCTCCAGTTTCACTGCAGAATGTTTGCAGTTTAAATGCTTTGTTACTAACTACTTTTTTCTTTTTTTCCCCCAACAGTTAATGACAACACAAATAGCAGAGTGGTTCTTTGGTCATTCTTTGAAGCCCTTGTACTAGTTGCCATGACACTGGGACAAATCTACTACCTGAAGAGGTTTTTTGAAGTCCGAAGGGTGGTGTAAGATCCTTCTGTGGTCTCAGATTTCAGTTCACTCTCTACCAAACATCCTGGTCACAAACAAAAAAAAGTCATTTAGTTTCTGAACCCTCTTTACTGAACTGTAAAACTTATCTGCTTATGTTCCTTCCTAGTTAAGAAAAAAAAAAAAAAGGAATTGTTTTTATATATCTTCTGTAGCAAAAGCTGTGCTGAAATCTTGTCACTTTATTGGCATCATTTTGTTCCACTGAGATCTGCCCAGTCTGTGTGCTAAGCAAGGTCCAGGCAAGCTGCAAACTCTGTAACTCACTCCAGTAACAAGCTCTTCTGTCCTTTCTGACTTCTTTCCCTGTCTGCAGAAGCACTTGCACTTCTGCCCAGGGAAACGGTACAAGGCCCTAAGGTGACTGTTTGCATCCTCACACCCTCAACCCTGCAGTAGGTCCTACCAACCTGAAATAATCCCTTCTCCACTCACAGAAACTGCCAAGGAAAAGCTTAAAATTCATAAATTCATACCTAGTTGCTATTTAAAAGATAGTCATCAGCAACTGTCTTAATGATACCAACTTCTTCCCAAAGTTCTTTTTAATTAAATAGTTGATATAAAAATGCTTTTTTTTGTTCTCTGCTCATCACCAAATGTTCCTTACACGGTTTTTAGTCTCTCAGAGGTTTTATTTGGAAGCCAATTGTGTGCAGTGTCTTGGCAAACACTGGTGAACCCTTTGGCTTTTGCAGGTCCAAAGCTCAGACTGTTTGCCCGGTGCCCAGGGCAGAAAGTTCAGGAATTCTGGGTTCCTGAGGCCAGAGGGTTCTGGATCCTGGGGGTTCAATCCACGCTATGCAGCCCTTGTATTTAAGTGCAGTGGCAAACTCTGCCATGATCTGATCAGAATTAGCATAATGCTAAATACTGGTGTGTTTTCTTTTTTCAGGCACATGTAGATTTGTTTTTGTACAAAGTTCCTTTCCTCGGTTCTCTGATGATTGGTTTAAAAATTTAAGAAGCGTCTGATGTGGGTGCTGAGCCAGGATTATGTTGTGACTGATGTATATTAGTTGTAATCATTTTTGGGGGTGGGGTGGGGTCTTTTCCAGGGGGGATCCTCTACAAGTAACACACAACAGTTTTGTACAATTAATTTAAAATTTGTTACAGGTTTTCATGTTCCAGGTAAAGTTTTTTCAACCTCGGGCAAACACTTGCAGCAGTTCTTCAGAGAGGTGGCTGTTACACCTTATTGCAACTGTTGTGTGCCAATATTTTTGTGTAAAACACTGAAAATTGAATTCTAAGATGTACATTTAAAAATTGCTCGTGAATCTAAATATGACCCAGGTTCGATAAATAAACAAATTCTTTAAAAAAAATAAAAAGCAGCTTTGTGGGTTTTTTTCTTTAATACTTTAAGGAAGTACAGATTAACACAAAGGGGTTTTTATAAATTATTTATTTAGTAGTGGCCATAAACTGAACCACAAGAAGTTCCATATCAATGTGATGTGAGCAGTGGAAATGCCCAGGGAGGTTGAGGATTCTCCCTCTGTGCAGACATTCCAAACCCACCTGATGTGTTCTGTGTCACCTCCTCAAGGTGACCCTGCCTTGGCAGGGAGCTCGGACTGGCTGACTCCAGAGTTTTCTCACAATCCTAACGATTCTATCATTCCCTGCTTTCTTAAAATATCAGGAATTTACCCTGACTCCATCCAGAATAAATATCAGGTAACTCTGAACCCACAGCTTAGGTTTGGGGTACTCGGGTGGCTCAGCGCTGCTGTAATACCCTCACAAGTACTCACTGCGATAGGCAGCTGCCATAAAAATGGGAATTTTTGGTTAAATCCGAAATTTGCTTTCCACCGCGGAGGCGGGGCGCGGCGGAACTGATGTGCGGCGGAACGGGAGTGCCGCGGTTGTGTTTCCGCCGAGGCCGCCGCGGGTGCCGGTGCGGGGGCGCGGCGGGGCGGTGGCACCAAGATGGAGGCGGTGTGTGAGGGCGGCTGGGGCTCGCTTCCGGTGCCGCTGAGCCCGGGCGTGCTGCGGGCGCTGCGCGAGCTCCGCTTCCACCAAATGACCCCGGTGCAGGTGCGGGGCCCCGCGGCACGGCCGGGGAAGGGAGGCCGGGCTGGGGAAGGAGGGCGCGGGCGGTGTCAGGGGCGCCGGGGCCGTGGCGGTCGCAGCAGTCCTGAAGCCGCATCCGTGATTTCCCCACCGGCGCTGCCTGGGTGATGTTCACAGCGAGCTCTGATGTGTCAGAGGAGTTTTCACCTCTGTGAGATTTATCACCTCTTCCCTTGCTCATGTGGTACTTCTCTTTTTTTCAGTCTGCGACCATCCCGCTGTTCATGAGTAACAAGGATGTGGCTGCGGAAGCCGTGAGTGCTTTCCCTTCCTGCAGCTCCTTTTTTCCAGCCCTGTCTCCGGAGCTGAGGGAGGGCTGACGCTGTTCCCGCTCTCACAGGTCACAGGCAGTGGGAAAACCTTGGCGTTTGTGATTCCCATCCTGGAAATTCTTCTCAGACGGGAAGAAAAGTTAAAGAAAATGCAGGTGAGATTAAAATATCCAATACTGAGTTCATTTTTGTGATGTGCCAATAAGATTTGAGAACTTCCAAGAAAATATCCACAAGGAAAATTGCCTATACACAGAGTGACTGTGCTCAGCAACAATAAACTGTTTAAAACCTGGAAATAAAATTGGGGTGCTCTCACTGCATTTAGGTACAGCTTCTCCTCTGGCAGGAACAGAACAGGGCTCTGAGCTGTGAGAAAAATGTCCCAGAATATAGGATACACTGATGCACTGCAAGTGAGATTTGAATGCTTTTTAGCACCCATTGACCTTGAATACATTTTAGTGTGCAGGGAACTTCAGTGTCATTTGCTGTTAAATGTCATTGTCAGATGCTGCTCTTTCAGCAGGGACATTTTACACATTGATTCAAAGTCTTTCATAGACATTTTTGAATATTTTTTATGCTTTATTGTATTTCTGTGGAAATGTTTTGTCTGAAACCAGGCTCACAATCATGGTTTATATTCACTTAGCTGAAAGGGAGGATTCTGCCCAGATCTTTCTTTTTTTCCTCCCCACAAATTCCTGTTTTTCAGGTTGGAGCTATAATCATCACCCCAACCAGGGAGCTGGCCATTCAGATTGATGAGGTGCTGTCACATTTCACCAAACACTTCCCCATGTTCAGGTGGGTGAACTTCAGCACTTCCATGGCCACACTTCCTTCTGTCACCCAGCAAAACTTCCAGGTGACCCAAATCTTTCTGTTTCCCTGTTTCAGTCAGATTCTTCTCATTGGAGGGAGGAACCCCATGGAAGATGTGGAGAAGTTCAAGGAGCATGGGTGAGTTGTTTGTTCGGTGTCTCAGAGCTGTGGTTTTCTCCTTGTCAGGGTTCTCAGCCCAGAGCTGTGCTCCTGCTGCTGCTGCAGTGGGATGTGCTGCCAGAATCTTTTGGGGTGAGCTGGGAGATTGTGGGGTCTGTTCCTGGAGTGAGGTGCAGCCCTTATGGACATCAGCACCATTTCTCTGCTGACTGGGTGAAGAACAGAACTGAAAATGCCTTCAGTGGATATTTCACTTCTCCCTGCTCATTAAATTCGTGGAATTGTTTGGTGCTGATGCTGATGCTGGAGTTTTGAAGGAGCCCTATTTGCCCCTGGCTTTTGCATGGAGACACCAAATATTCCTGCAGTGATAGCTGCTTGCTGTTTATTTTCTAAACTTTTCTTTCATCTGGGCATTCCCCCCACGCCATGCCACCGAAACATGGGTGCAGTTAAAGGTGACAAAATGAATTGTTTTACTGAAGAGTGCAGGGCAGGGCTGTGCTGTGGGAGCAATGTCAGGAGTTCTCCCAGATTGCTGCCCCTGGGTGAGGGAAGTTTTCTGTGTGTGCACCCACAGGGGGAACATCATCGTGGCCACCCCGGGCCGCCTGGAGGATCTGTTCAGGAGGAAGGCAGAGGGGCTGGACCTGGCCAGCTGTGTCAAGGCTCTGGATGTGCTGGTGTTGGATGAAGCTGACAGACTCCTGGATATGGGCTTTGAAGCCAGGTATTGAAATAATAAATTTTGGTGGTTCTTCTGCAGTTTTAAATGAGTTCATGTGTGATGAATGTGAATGAGCATGGTCTGCAGTGCCCTCCAAAGTTAATTTGTTCTGTTTTTTGAAATTTCTGAATTTGTTCTTTCATCTTTGTTCTGTAACTACACAAAGCAGTTGCTAAGGGGGAGGAGAATCAGGAAATGTGGGGCCTCAATGAATATGGAATTTCCTTTGCTGAAATGTATGTTAGCATATCTCTATTAATAAATATCATTATTCACACTTCAGAATGGCTTAAAACACTTTAAACAATAAGCTTTGATCTCTCTTTTCTCTGTATTTCTGAGAGAAATTGAGGTGATAGCTTACCTCTCTGTCTCAGAGCTAAGGTAATTATTTCAGTAGCAGTTTGATGTGATAACAAAGCCTAAACTCCTTTCCAGTGATTGAAGCTCCTCCTGAGGGAGGCCTTGGGACAGTTCCATTTTCCCTGTGCTCCCTTGCAGCCTGAATGCCATCCTGGACTTCCTGCCCAAGCAGAGGAGGACAGGGCTGTTCTCAGCCACGCAGACCCAGGAGCTGGAGAGCCTGGTGAGGGCCGGGCTGCGGAACCCCGTGCGCATCTCGGTCAAGGAGAAGGGGGTGGCAGCCAGCAACACCCAGAAAACCCCAACTCGCCTGGAGAACTTCTACATGGTGTGAGCCTGGGCTCCCACTGAGCTCCCTGTCCCCTCTCCTTTCTTCCAATAAGATTTTAAGTCTTGGCCACTTAGGATCGCCTTAACAGGAGAGCCAAAGTCCATTTTTTTATGTTTTTCTTTTGCATTTTTTAGATCTGCAAGGCAGATGAGAAGTTTAACCAGTTGGTGCATTTTCTTCGGCAGCACAAACAGGAAAAGCATCTGGTCTTTTTCAGGTAATTCTGTTTGTGTTTCATTGTGAGAACAGTTTGGTTTTTAATTACCCAAATTCCAAACCTCTGCCCTTTGTTGCAAAGGGCACAACTATTTTCAAAGTGATTCATTTTGAGAGCTGTTTTTTAGAATATGGTGTCTAAAAAGAGATTAATCATTGCCTCATGTCAGGATTGTGTTATTAATCAAAACATACATTTTAAGCATTTTTAAAGTAAGACATTATAGATGATTATATGTTAATTATAAAAATTATGTGCATGTTTAAATAAAAATAGTGTATATTTTTGAAAGAGCTTAGGAAACTCTAGCTTGATTAAACCTGATTAAAAATGCAGAATAACCTTTTCCTTTATGCCTGTCCTTATCACTACAGCACATGTGCCTGTGTGGAATACTATGGGAAGGCTCTGGAATCCTTAATTAAGCAGGTGACAATAATGAGCATCCACGGGAAGATGAAGCACAAGAGAAACAAGATTTTCACGGAGTTCCGGAAGCTCCCGGGGTGAGAACGGGGGAGTGGCTGAACAGTGAGGGGGAGGTGGTTGTGTCTGACTCTTCTGCTGCTGCTGCTTGAGTGGAAGGATGGCTCAGGTGAAGGATGCTGCAGGCTGGCTCTGAGTGTGTTGATGGTATCACAAATTGTGATATTGATAGTATCACAAAGTGTGACCACAAACAAAGGGAGAATGGGACTGGAGCATCTGCACCCTACTGTAGATAGTCCATGTGGCAGCACAGGAGGTGAGCACACTGCTCTCACTTGCTGCAATCACACATTAGCCCTGATGTTTAAACTAACTGGTAGCAAAAATCAGCTTTTCCTGATCATTAAGCAGAGTGGAAACCAGGATGTTCCTTTGTTGGTGTATGAGCAAGAACATGGCAATGCTGCTGTAACCTGCCCACAGGGAAATGTGCTTTGGCAGCTTTGCAGGATGCTGTTAAGAAACTCTTGCCTCATCAACTGTCATTTTTGTTATTGAATGGGACCCGAGTTTTAGCTTTTTATATTATGAGAAAAATAATTACCAGCAGATTGTAAGAACAGCTGTTGAAAAGAACAGCATGGCAGTTCTGCTAAAATTGTCACTCAAGTCTTGGGTCTTTTATTTAAACATTTTTTATAGTACATTCAGCTGTGGTGGATGCAGTGCTGGTTTAAAATTTGAATTTTTAATGGGGAATTGATTTGTCTTAGAAATATAATATAAATCACAATAACTTTCAAAATGTAATGTAGAATTTTAGGTGGTGAAAGCTGCAATTACCTTATATTTTGTCTCTTAAAAAACCTCAAATATTTTAGTGTTTTGTTCCTCACTCTCCAGTGAAGGTGCAGAACACACAGCTGTGAGGAGGCTGGCTCTTCTCAAAGGACAGGTTAATGAAAATCCACTTTTCCTTCTTCCCAGGGGCATTTTGGTGTGCACAGACGTGATGGCCCGTGGCATTGACATTCCAGAGGTGCACTGGGTGTTGCAGTATGACCCACCCAGCAGTGCCAGGTACAACTTCACATCCTGAGATCCTTTTCCTTTCTGTGTGGTCTTCTCTTTCTGTGCTGTTCAGGTCTCAGTTAGGAACAAAAAAACGCCTAAAACACATCTAATCACTTCCTGGGGGTTAATCTGAGAGAACACACAAAATAATGCAGAAGCAAGGCTGAAACAGTGCAGGGTTTGTTGTCACTGCTGAATTGCAGTGACTCTGGGGTGTAGGTGTCAGTCAGGGGGTGATTGTCACATCTCTGTGCAGAGGTGGCTCTGGGGTTGGGCTTTGTGTGAGAATATCAGAGAGTGAGGGGTGACACTGGGGTGAAGGAGAACAGAACTGAGAGCAGGGACTGAGCTCTTCAAGGAATGGTACATTGAAAGCTCACAGGAAAGGAGCTTTTCTGTGAATTTTAACTTTTGCTGTCATAATTCTTCCTCCAACTTGCTTGAACTTCACTCCCAAAGCAGACACCCCTTGCTTTAGCCTAACAATTGAGTGGGATTGCCACACACCTCTTGTGTTACACTTTGCTCATTCCTGTTGGTTTAGTTTAGTGTTTTCCATCCCACAAGATTTGCCCTTTTGCTGCCCAGTGCTCCCAAAGCCACTGAGTCTCTGCTGGGCTCTTTCAGTGCCTTCGTGCATCGCTGCGGTCGCACGGCGCGCATCGGCAACGTGGGCAGCGCTCTGGTGTTCCTGCTGCCCATGGAGGAGTCCTACATTAACTTCCTCTCAATCAACCAAAAGGTGAGCAGCCTTTTACTCTACCCCAAAGCAGGAAAGAGCAAGGGCACAGACTTACTGATAGCAGCTTTGAAATCTGAATTTGTAGAACTTGGGGTCATACACGTGGGTAATGTTTTAGCTGAGGTGCAGAATTAAGACAAGAGCTGCTTATTAATCACCAAATGCAGCTAGAACATGAAATTCAGCTCCAGTGTTAGCCCCTGGGTTTGTAAGAGGAACATGCAAAGAGTAAGGAAAGGCCTTTTGTTCCTAGGGGTGTAAATGGAGCATTTGCAGGAGGGCAGTGCTGGCTTACAGTCCTGCCCCAGCAGCTCACACCCGGCAGCCTCTCTGCTCCTTACTTACAACTCCTGCAGTCTCCATGCCTGCTCCTGCCTGTGAGGGATTCATTGTGTGAGTTCTCTGGAGACCTCCTAGTGAGAGCAGAGCTTGGTGAAGCAGGAGATGAAGATGTTGCCTCTGTGGAGCTGCAGTGTGAGAACTCTGCTGGGCCAGGAGCTGCTGTGTGGGGCTGATGGTCAGCAACACTCATGTGTTGGAGTGCTCAGAGGGAAAGGGGCTCAAAGTTGACTGAGGATTAGCTGGGCAAGAAGGGTGAGTTTGAGGTTTCACAGTGCATTCCACATCATTTGGGTGAATTTTGGTTTTGTTTATTTTCTGGTTGCCAGTGTCCCATGCAGGAAATGAAACCACAGACAAATGTGCTGGATCTTCTCCCCAAGCTGAAGTCCATGGCCCTGGCTGACAGGGCAGTGTTTGAGAAAGGGATGAAAGCCTTTGTGTCCTATGTCCAGGCTTATGCCAAACACGAGTGTAACCTGATCTTCCGGATCAAAGGTAATTCCCCCCAGGGCCGGGACCTCTCACTGCTTTTCTCAGACAACAAAATGGATAAAAAGCTAATTTAACTGAAGCACAATGGTGTTGTCCACAAGCTTCAGTTTCTGATTTTGATCTCACATTTCCTTCCACCACCATCAGATTTTGACAAATCTCCTATTTTTTTCCAAACATCCTGTTTCAAAAGAAAACATTTCAATATGGAGCTTGACCAAACTGATAAAAGCAGAAATAAAAGTGACTTAGTATTGTTGCCAGTATTAAGGTATAGAGTGCAAACAATACTTTAAAATAATATTCACTTTTTTTTTCCTCAGTTAAATTAACTTTTTATCCAGCAGGAAACTGACTTTATGATCTTTATTTCAACAGATCTGGATTTTGCCAGTCTTGCCAGAGGTTTTGCATTGTTAAAAATGCCAAAGATGCCTGAACTAAGAGGAAAATGTTTTCCAGACTTTACTCCAGTCACTGTCAATACAGACTCCATTTCATTTAAGGATAAAAACAGAGAAAAGCAGAGACAAAAGAAATTAGAAGAACTAAAAAAAGAAAGAGAGGAAAATCAAGGAAAAAAGAAATTTGTAAAGAACAAAGCATGGTCAAAGCAGAAAGCCAAGAGGGAGAAGAAGAAGAAAGTAACAGCTAAAAGGAAGCGTGAAGAGGTAACTGTGTCCATCCCTTAACTGATTTCTGTAGTTTTGCCAATGGCAGAACCCTGGGATTTCAGTGGGGTGGAACTGATGGCTGTGAAATAACATTTTAGGACTTGGACAAGCAAAGCTTAAAAAAATGATAGAGGTTTTTGAAGCCAAACACTAAAACAACTTCTCAGCACTGATGCTGGTCAGTAATAGGATTTTTATTTCTCAAGTGCAGAAGTATGGCCTGAGGGTGCTTTTGTCAATTGAATTTATTATTTTCTGCTTGGATATTTCTGGCAAACTCTGACTTGTAATCTTCTCTTGTGTTCAACTGTGTACAATGAAAACCTTTTGATGTTGTGTTTAATTTGTTGTTCTCAACTTCCAACAGGGCTCTGATATTGAAGATGAGGATATGGAAGAGCTGCTGAATGATACAAGACTTTTGAAAAGATTAAAAAAGGGAAAAATTAGTGAAGAAGAGTTTGAGAAGAAACTAACAGGCAACCACAGGCTCAAAGCAGAAACTGTTGAGGACATAGATTCTGAAGGCTGACAGTCACTCTAACCACATTTTTACATTAAAACACTGCTTATTTCAATAAAACTGGATTTTTATAAAAAATGGAGAACAAAATACCTCTATAAAAAGAGAACAAAGCTGATCTAATTTCTTCACAGAGAGACCTGGCATCCCTAAGGACACAGAGCCTGCAGTTGTTGAGAACAAAGCTAAAAGCACCACTCTGCTGTGGCAGGAGCTGCAGGGTTCCATCAGCAGCCTTGGGCATGTTTTCATTTTGATTTTTTCAAGTACATACCACAGATCAGTAACAGCAAACCTCAGAGTGAGTCTGGATACACCATAAGGGATTTTATTTAAAGTATCAAAATAATCCATCCCTCTTTAAAATAATTTAGTTGTGGCCTTTAGGAGCTGTAATAACTTTGGGAACTTTTTCAACAGTGGTCCATAATTATGTTAATCCTTCTAATGGCATTTCTTTGCCATATTCATGTATCCTCCAAGTTCTCAGAACCCTGGCAGTCCTTGGAGATGACACATCCTGTGCCTCTGTGTCTCTGGGTTACAGGTAGAGTTTAATGAGTTCATCACTGACAGCTGAAGGAGTCAGCACACCGAGGTCTGTGAACAGCAGAGTGATCAGAGATGGGGAGGTGTAGTCAATCCAGGGGTGCTCCTCTTTTAGGTTCTGACTTGTTTTCAGAGTGTCTGCTTTGTACTGGAAGGAAACAGAGACCTTTAGTTACTGCACAACTGCAAATTAAATCCTCTTTTGGGCAAGAGCAGTGCCACAGCCTCAAGCAGATGTTTGTGGTGAAACTGAAGGAAGTCAAGTGCACACACTGGAGCCACCTTGGCCTCAGCTCTTTTATCTTGTGTAAAAAGTACAGTTTGTAGTTCTGGAGTTTGGTTTAACTGTTTCTTACCCTCAGCTGCTCCCATGCCCTAAAGGAACTGCTTTAGGAACAGAGTATCAGCATCAGGACAAATTATGGCTGTTTGGTGCCTCTACCGTGGAGCAACCCCAAAATATGCCACAGCAGAGAGATCCAGATAATCAGAGATGCTTAGAAGACAATTTTTCACAGGCACATCAGTGAATGAGATGGAAATTGAGTTTCTCTCACCTTAAACCTGTCAGGGACGTCCTGCTGATTGAGAGGGAAGAGTCTGACAAACTTGAAACTTTCTGCTACCACATAAAATGGCTTATTCTGGGCTTTGGCACACACAGCAATTTGATTGGTGCCAATCTGTGGGGACAGATGGAAAACAACATTGCAGACTCAGTGCTTGCCTGAAAATATTGCCCAGTTTCCAACAATTAACAGACATTACCTGGATAAAATCCACATGGAAGAGGCTTTTCAAAAAGCTTTAAATGCTTCAGAGAAGCCAAACTTTAAAAGTCCAGAGTGTACAGAATGATGTAAGAAACTCACATTACCTTGTTGATAATGCCTCCACTTTCAACTACACCTTCAGCACCAACTAACACCAGGTCCACTTTCTCCATAATGTAGCTGTTAAAAGGGGAGAAAAAATCCAAGCATTACTGGGTAATAGGACAAATGACTTGCTGAACAGCACAGAAATGGGTAATTCAAACAATCTTTCCATTTTCTGCACTAATTCCAGCTACCTCATGTAAGTCCACATGCTGCTACATATTCTTGGAGTGAGATTTCATCTCCTTCCCTGCAGGAATATTAAGCAGCCTTTTCTTCCCCAGCCATAGCTGACCCTGGCAACTGTGTAAAAGCTGGAAGAAGCTGAACTCTAACTAGGAATGTTCAGATTTACTGTAGTTGTTTCTTTTCTCACAAGTGCTGCGCTTGTACTAAGCAGTGCTAATTTAGCAAATACCTTAGGAAACCACAAAATGATCACACTTATGGAAATCAGGAAAAAAAAGTGGCTTCTTTGTTTAGCACCTCAGTTCTTTTTTATAGATCTGTACAAGTTCTTAGGTCTGGTTCTTTCATTCCAACATGCAAAATCAAATGCTTGTGTTGTAGCTGACACATTCTAATTGTGCACCTAAAGCTGGAACTCGTTTGGCCTGTTGGATGGCTGTGACAAACTAAGTAATATCTCTGGGGTTTGAACAAGCTGCTTACATGAAAGGTTATTTTGTCTTACTGTCAAAATGAAATTGTGATGAAAAATACCAAAATTTATGATCAGACTCACCCAACTGCAGCATCCAGAATCACAGTCACGGGAATGTTCAGTTTCCTCAGGGCTTTTGCCATTTTTTGCCTATAAATAAAACATTTGGACCTTAACAATTATTTTTTTAAAGACAAAAATGGGAAAATATTGTCTGAAAGACTGAAGCCTATGACTGCCCCCATTCCCTTGCTGGTAGAACAGAAAATGAGTTATTGTATAGAAATGGAAGGAATTGTTACGTGTTAATGACATGTATTACCCAGTGTGCAGGGTTAACTCCTTCATTTACAGAACAATATCTGCTCTGAAGGAATTATTTGGCATTTTTAAATGACATTGTTAGCTGTATATTTTACTTTGCTATGGTTAGCATAATACTGATTATTTTAGCCTACTTCTTAAAGAGACAATTATAAAGCACTTGTCTCCCATCTCACAAGGGAAAAGTAGGTTGCCTGGCATTGACCAAAAGTCTGTGAACCTTTGAGATAAACCTACATAACACTAATTAGGATGTCAAGTACGGAAAGTTAATTACCAATATTTTTTAGATTTATTTTTTCATTTGTCCAGAATAATGAGATATGAGTGACACTTGCCATTTAAAATGCTCCAGCCAAGCCTAGCAGCTTTTCTTAGGGCAGGACAAGTTGGATGGTAGCTGTAACTTACCCTGTTAACCAAGATAAACCCCAAATTACTGAATACTCACCCTGCTTCATCTGGCTGTGACTCAGTAACATAAACACTGAATCGCTTCTTGGCCTCCACGGCTGCTTCCAACACCCTGAGGACCACCCTGGAGTAGGCATGTGTCAGTATTCGCTGCCAGGACAAAAAAAAAATCACATATTACATCTGCTGAGCCTCGGGAAATCTTGACTTTTGTCCTGGCTTGGTGTGCAGAACAAGGTTGTGCAGAAGCCCCATGAGACTCCTCTCCCCTCCTGTTCTGCAACAGCAGAACCCAACAGCAGCGCCCGTGCCCCGGCCTACTCACAGCACCGTCTCTGATGAACGGGTGACACAGCTTGGCGATTTTATTCCTCGACAGAGACACTTTGGTCAGGAAGATCTCCCCGCGCTCGATCATGATTTCTTTGCACTTGGAGTAGTCCTGGCAAAGAGCGGGACGCGGGCTGAGCGGCCGCGGGCTCCCGCAGCCGCCGCAGCGGGGCCGGCCGGGCGGCCCTTACCGAGTACTCCAGCGAGGTGAGGCTGATGAAGCGCAGGAAGAGCTCCCCGCCGGAGGACACGGCCACCGAGGAGTCCACCCGCGACAGGGTGTCGATGGCGTCCCGCAGGCTGTTCCGCAGGCCCTGGATGGTCTCTCCTGAGGGGAGGCAGACACGCGTGCTCAGGGGCTCGCCCCGGGGACAGCCGGGGCTCCGCGCCCCGCCGGGGACACCCGCGCCCACCTCGGTCCTGCTTGAGGAACCCCAGCAGCGCTCGGATGGCGGCCACGGCCGAGGCGACATCGGGGTCGTCCCTCAGCTGCGCCCTGAACGTCTCGATCAAGTCTGAAAGGCAACGGGGAGCGTCAGGTCAGGTCCGGCCCTGCCTGGCGGCTCCCGGGGCTGCCCCGCGCCCCCGTTACCGTCCGTGCCCATCGCCGCCCCCGTTACCGTCCGTGCTCATCTCCGCCGCGCTCCGCCCGCTGCGCCGGGGCGTGGGGAGGCCCGGCCGGGGCGTGCCCGGATGCAGAGCGCCGGCCCGGGCGTCATCCGCGGGCGCCGCAGCCGCTGCAGCCCGGCCGGAGCGATGAGCGCGGGTGAGCGCGGCCGGGGCCGCCCGGCGGGGGCTGCGGGTGCTCCGGACGGGTCTGGGGGTGCTGCGGCGGGGCTCGGGCCGCTCCGGGGGAAGCGGAGGCCGGGAGCGGGGCCCCGGGGCTTCACGGCTCTGCTCGGGGCCCGCAGTGACGCGCTCCCTTTGCAGATGATGAGCTGAGCCTGCTGATCATCGTCCTCGACACCAACCCCATCTGGTGGGGGAAGAGGGCCCTGGGAGAGGCTGAGGTACGGCCTTTGGGCGCTGGCACTGCTGATGACCATTTCTGAGGGAAATTTTATCTTTTTTTTTTAAATTCTGAACTGTGCTAACATTGTCTGCTAAAGCAGGTATAATGGGTATCGTAACAACTTTTGAAATAGCTATGCAGTATTCATTAGAGCTTTTTTAACAGCAAAAGCTCTTTCTGCATCTTCAAATTTAGGTTTTTAAACTGCAGTAATTTCAGAGATTACTTGTGAATTGCTTCTCTGTAAATGTTACTGTGCTACATTGCTCTGTTCTTTTTTACAGCAGTTCACCCTGTCGAAATGCATCGATGCAGTGATGGTGCTGGGGAACTCCCACCTGCTCATGAATCGCACCAACAAACTCGCTGTAATAGCAAGTCACACTCAGGAAAGGTAGAGCTGCTTCTGAACAGTGTGAACGTTTCCAGTTTCCTGTATCTGTCTCCTGATTTTCTTGCTTGATGGCGAGAATCCAAGTTAAAAGTGTATAATATATTGTCTCTAAAAAATTAGCTGAAACTATATAGGAAAGAACCATAATGAGTTACAATGCACCAAAAAGAAGACAGAAGGGAGATTTAAATAGACTTAAAAATGCTCAGAGAGAGAATGGTAGATATGTGTGGAGTGGAGCAATGCAAATGGCAGAAGTTCCCTGTTTAGGGGATATTTTTACCCCCAGATGTTTGTGAATCTCAGGATCTACCCCCAAGTGCAGCCAAAGAACTTTGCCAGATCTCTTAATAGATGTCTCAAAAGGAGGGAGCTGAATGTGGGTTTTACTTGAGTTTAAGGTCACCGACCTTATATAGCCTTATTAATGCCTCAAGCATTAAAGGGATTTTAAATTAAACGTCAGAGTACTGTTATTTGCAGTTGATTCATTTATAGCATTTTTTCTTACATGAATGCTTTGTTTTCCCTCGTTTTCAGCCGTTTCCTGTACCCTGGGAAGCGTTGGGCTGCTGCAGATCCCTTTGGAGAGGGAGGCCCTTCCATGGAATCTAACTGCTCTGGCAGCAAGGATGGAAAATATGAATTATTAACAGCAATAAATGATGCAATTGCAGAAGAGATTAAAGACCTCATGACAAAGAGTAAGGAGAAGAAAATTCTAGGCTTAATATGCAGAATTGGAAAACACACTTGGACTGTCAAGGAGTTGCAGAAATGTCCTCTATTTTCACCATATGAATTTTAATATGCCTAAAGTAGATGAGTTAATTATGTTTGACAGTTCAGCCCTCTGCATTGATATTATTTGCCAAAGATAAAAATGTGCAGTATTTTGTATTAGGTTCAGTTGCTGCTTTTATATATAAAAGTCACTTTTGCACTTTTTCATGTGTTGCAGCTGACATGAAGGGCCAGCAAACAGAAACCCTGTTAGCAGGATCACTTGCTAAAGCACTTTGTTGTATCCTTTTGATTACAGAATCTTCAAAGCCTTTATGTGTTCTCATGACTGTTTCTTATAATACTAACTTCTGCTGTTCTGGTTTTGTTATAACACTTAAAACTGAAACATTTGCCTGATAACTGTGGCTTGTCAAAATGTGTATTGGCCAAGGTGGTGAATGTGTGGTATGGATCATGGAATTATTTCTAAAAAGGGAATGTAGATTCCTTAATTGCAGCTAATGTAGACATCAACAAGATGGGCAAAGACCTAAAAGGTATCACCTCTTTTCCTGTTTTCAACACTGAGTAAATATTTTAACCTGAGTAACAGGTATAAATACACATGCACACACAAACAAATATACATGTTTGAACACACCCCCATTTCCAAAATTTGCACTAACAGGTAGAGATTTATTTTGATCATTTGAAGTTGCCTGAATTAAAAATGTTGAGGGACTTGATCAATGGTCCACGTTCTTAGGGAGATTTTCTGTTGTGTGGAAATAAACTGTAACTGGAATTTCTGTGGAATAACTGGAGGTTGAGAGGAATTAGTCCATAGATAATTGCCACTGGGACTGGAAATAATTTCATATAGATATTCTATCTGACATGCTAGATCTAACATCCAATATATTCTGAGGTGTCATATGCTACAGAATTAAAGGGATGCTGATTAAGCAAGGTGCTGATGCATTTCTCTTTCTTTTTAATACTTAGCCAATCAAGAAATTAAATCAAGGATTCTGGTAAGAACTTTTGCTGTCACAGTTTTCTTTTAGTCTTGAAATCCAGTGATATATGTAGGCTAACAAGTCTGAGTTTGTATTTAGGTCATAAAAGCTGCAGAAGACAGCGCACTGCAATACATGAATTTCATGAATGTGATCTTCGCAGCACAGAAACAGGTGAAGCTGGCCTTTTTTCCATTTATATTGTCTTTTATTTCTGTGTAAAGATAACACAAATGTTAATTTCTCTTATGATTACATAATTTATAGTGCATTTGTCATGGAAACAAGTCATGACAGTAACACTGACAGAGCTGTGTGGGTTTTGGCTAAATTTGTTTTTTGTGCATGCCGTCTCTTGCAGAGTATTTTGATTGATGCCTGTGTCTTGGACTCTGATTCAGGTCTTCTACAACAGGTACAGACTTGCTGTTCTTTGCCATTTATATTAACTCATAAATACTTGATGTTAGACAATTCAACACATCCTTCAGCTCTTTCCTTTAATCAAGAGTGGGTGTGGAAATACGTTCAGTGGATCTGTCAGTTCTGCCATGCAGGCCTTGTGCAGTACATGGATATTCTGAATGCCCTGTTAATGTCATCAAAGAACATTCTGATCATGGTCTCTGCTTTGCAGGCCTGTGATATCACGGGTGGCATATATTTGAAAGTGCCCCACATGCCATCCCTTCTGCAGTATTTGTTGGTAAGTCACTTAACAAACACTTCAGTGTTTTTCGTGTGTCAGATATGAAATATTCACTTCACTGACCTGGTAATACAGGAATACCAATCCAATTAATAAAATACTTCTCTCTGTCCCTGCAGTGGGTTTTTCTCCCTGATCAAGAGCAGAGATCCCAGCTCGTCCTTCCACCTCCTGTTCATGTTGACTACAGAGCTGCCTGCTTCTGTCATCGCAACCTCATTGAAATTGGCTACGTCTGCTCCGTGTGCTTGTCAAGTAAGCTTATAAATATTTAACAGCCTGATTTCTTACATTCCAATGACCTGTTTTAGTGAAAGCTAATTCTTTGATTTTTCAGTATTCTGCAACTTCAGTCCTATCTGCAGTACCTGCGAGTAAGTGTTTACTCTTTTTGTTTCAAGGGTGGGTGTGGGAATATGTTCAGTGTATCTGACAGTTGCTTTTCCATATTTTTTTCCAGGACTGCTTTCAAAATATCATTGCCACCTGTCATGAAAGCAAAGAAGAAGAAATTAAAGGTAGCTGCATAGCAACATTATGTAAATACATCATTACCTCCTCCAGAATTCCATGAAATGGAGCCTACTTGAGAAACTGATGGCACTTTTTATTGGAAATGAAAGAGAACTGTATGCAGTGCTATTACTTGTTTCTTAGGGGATAAATTTTTAAAATGTATGTTTTCTATGTAGCCTGTTAAGTAACAAATCACTGTATTACCATGTAATCTGTGCTGTTTTAAATACTAATTCTTTGCTGTAAGAGGAACCAGAAGTTGCATCCTGGTAAAGAGACACAGCCTGTGAATTTGAGGGTATTCTGTCCACTGCAAAGTTTCACACCTCTGAGTTATTTTCAAAGTCAAGAAAGCTTCGATTCTTTCTGTATGTTGGTGTAAAGTTAAGAATGACCATTTCCAGTTTGTAGGATCAGAATCACAGCACTGTGTTGTTCAGAGACTTCAGCTTCTTACTAGCAATATGAGCCATCATTTTCAAGATGGTTTGTGAGCCACTTGAAAAAAAAATGGTGCTAATTGCCCTGCATGTGCACTCACATGTATTCATATTCCTGTGACTGTACTGTCCTTGTGGTATTTCTTTCTCAATTTGATATCTCTTCATTTGTGAATGAAAAGGCCTCCCTCAGTTTAAAATAGGATGCAGACTAGCTGGTTAGTCTTCAAGGTTTTAGTTTGAAACTGGAAAACAAGAAATGTAGTTGTAATCTGATAACAGGCACAATTCTTATTTTTAGTATGTGGGCTTCCATCTGACACGTGACAAGAACAAAGACTTTTGGATTGATGTCTTTTATGGCAGGAAGGTCTGCTGTGTACTTTGAATGTGGCTTTCATTTAAAGAAACAAACAGTATCTCCTTCTAAAGAGAAATATATAATTTGGTAGTTTAACCTTTCTCCTGAAAGGAATAGAGAGGAATTTTTTTCCACATAGAAAACGAGTTATTTTTTCCTTCCCAAACGTGTATACAGGAATTTGTCAGGTCTTGATTTCCACATCAGGTTTTGTCACTGTAACAGCTGCAGTGCCAGTTTTTTCTGAGCTTGCCAACTTAACAAGGCGAGCTTTTTTTCATTGACAAAAGCCATTTTGTGTGAAGGCTGTATTTATAATTTACATTGTATAAAACTTTTGTAATAAAGACTGTCTCTTTTTCAAATGTGGTCAGTTATTGCTTTGATATTTAAGGGAGAGCTACATGATTTTCCTGGAGTTTTGTTGTTTGAGTCATATTAGTAAACAAACGGATTCATATTTATTTCCTACAAGTTACATACTTCTCTTCTTAATTAGTACTCTAATGCCTCTTCGTTAATGATTCTCTCACTTCTCATTTTAATTAGTCCACGTGCTCAGTTTCTCTCTTCTTTTGGGTTTGGGTGTTTTTTGGGTCACTGGTCTCCTACCAGAATTACCTTTTAGCTGCTTGGATCTGATTTCAGCACAATTATTGAGCTGGTTCTATTAGTTTTTTTCCTTAACTGGGAAGATGTCCTAGTGGTCCATAAATTCTACATTCTTTCGTGTTCATAATCAATCTTCCCAAACCATGCCCCCGGTCTGAGACTCCTAAACTTTATTATTTTCTTTTTTTTTTTTCTTACACACTTAGAGCTTGCTTGTTAGCGTTGTTAGTTTGTAACCGGCCCCACGGCCACCATCGCTCCCCAGCCCGCATCCCCCTGAGGCAGCTCCGTTCCCGCCCTTTCCCGTGAGGCGGCTCCGTTCCCGCCCTTCCCCTGAGGCGGCCCCGTTCCCGCCCTCCGCGTTGCCATGGCGCCGAGCTGGCGCTGCAAGATGGCGGCCGGGCGGCCGCCGTAGCGCTATGGGTGCTGCCGGCTTCGGGGCTCTGCTGCTGCTGCTGCTGCGGGCGGCTCCCTGCCCCGGGCAGCCGGCCGGGGACGCCGGTGGGTCAGGGCGTGAGCGGCCGCAGTGAATGGCGGCCTCTGGGGGGCGAGGGACGGGCGGGGTGTGGGGATGGCCGTCGGCCCGCGGCGGGATCTGCCCGGGTTGGCGTGAGGGGAGGCGGTGCAGGAACTGAGGGTTCCCCTCCGGAGCGCGGTCTTGGACGCCCCTTCCTAACCCGAACGTGCCCGCCGTGGAGTTTCTGCCGCTGCTCAGCACAGAGGGGGCAGGTGGAGCAGTTTATGTCGGACCTTTCAGCATTGGCAAAGTCTAGAAAGAAAAATTCAGTGAAACTCCCAGCTCCGAACCCTAAACTCGGCACTGCGTCCACATGCAGAACGCAGGAGCCCGCAGCTCCGGGATCGCAGGACATCTCTGGCACAATTCATGGCCCCAAGAAATTAAAAAGTGTAAGCTGAAGTCAACAAGAAATACTAAATATGGTGTTGCCGGAGCTGTGCAGTATCTGCGTGGGCTGTAAGTGCTGTAATGTTATTTTACTGCCTGTTTACTGGGCATCTTCACACATGTGAACTTGTGGCATAGAAAGCTACACCCACTCCTCCAGCGCTTGGCAAGAATGGAAATACATCCCTGTACTAGGCATTGCATGATATTTTTCTTCTATTTGTAACAATTTAAAGTCTAAGAGTGTAAGAATATAGCGCAAGCACAAGTTCTATATGTTTTACAGATGTTACCTCTTTCAGTCAACTTACTTCTTTCTCTTTTTTTTTTAGTCTTTCAGCCTTCATTTATTCATATGTCAGGGCCCAGAGTCAATTCATTTTTTCTTGGCAATTCTTCAGGAGTTAATTTTTCTATAATTTTAAGTCCTAGAGATGCAGAGACAGGTAAGAACACTTCAACTCCTTTTCCCCATGTAAATAAATATGTTTGAATTGTTAATACTTTTTGACACAAAAATTACTAGAGAAATGGTAATGCATGTCATTCAGTGTCTTAATAGTTACAGAAACAGGAATTTCAGACGTTCCTGTAATTAACCTCTTAGTTCTCAGTTGTTTCTGTGTGAGCTGGGCCTGAGGGTGTACCTGAAGGCACAAGAGGAGTTTAAATGTACTTCTCATTTCCCAGTCCTTTCTAAATGATCTTTAAAATTTTTATTTTATTATAGGAAAATTGCAACTTGCAAATTGCAGTGGAAGTCAAAGAGCTGGAGACTGGAATTTGGATGTAACTCCTGGTGTGGTATGTAAAATACTGATTCTTCTCTTATTCCACTTCATTCCAGCTTCTCTCTCAGAAACTGATGAATGGTATGGACAAGAGCAATTTCATACAAGCTATCAGAGCTGTCAAACTTTATTTTGTGTTTTCCAGAACATTTCCAAGGTGACTGTAAGCCTCAGCAGAAGTCTGGAGCTGTGTTTGCCCAATGCCACCGAGTGCTGCCCCTCTCCTCTGTGCATGGTGGAAACACTCCAGGTTTTAGCCTGCCGTGGCTCAGTGATGCTGGCACAGCTCCTCATTCAAGCTGAAATATTTGCCAACTCTTCCTTTGCAGGAAATGTGTCAGGTAAGTGCTAAAGAAGAAATGACATTTTGGCTGTTCTTCTCTCTGTATGGAAAAATCGGGATTTGGGCAGCAAGAAGAGATACTGAGCAATCAATGGAACTAAAGAAAAAGGTTTCTACACAGGTTAAACTGCAGTGTGTGTCTTTTTATTTGGATTTCAGTCCACTTAATCTGATTTGCTCTCCTATTTCTGTTACAGAAAATGCAACCATCATCCCAAACCAGGCATTTAAGCCCTTGGGCTCCTGTCCTTGCAACTTAACAGCTGGCGCTTGTGATGTTCGTTGTTGCTGTGATCTGGTACTTATTTCTTGTTAAACTTTGATTAAGTGTTTTCAAAGTTTCTAGACTCTCTTGTCTGAGGGGGGACAGAGGTCCTGAATGCCTCAGATTAGATGGGCCAGGGGGGTGTTTGGATATTCGAGTATTTCTGAAGGTAAATATGTTCTCTCTACAAAGTTGCTTGATTTACCTGTTGGTTTGGCTTTATATTGTCATAAGTATTGCAATTACCTTGCTAAAGAGTGACCATTGTTTTCCATTTCAGGAGTGTACACCAGACTTGCAGCAGTTATTCAGTGGATCATGTTTCCCTGGAGTGTTTGGTGGGGATGTAAACCCACCTTATGATCAGCTGTGCTCTTCCCAGCCAATGGAATACACCCCTGAGTGGTTTCCCTTCCTCTGTGTACAGTCTTCTCTTGACAACACACCTTTTCTTGGCTATTTTTATCATGGCTCTATGTAAGTCTTAAGAAAATTTATTTTCTCATCACACTGTCATCACACTCATTATGCAACCAAAAATATAACCTTTATATGTCTTTATAATGAAAGTTACTTTGAAATTGGGGTTTTAGGGTGTAAACCTTCAATGGAAGTGGAGAAATGTCATTGGTAGTATATAAGAACAGGGGACATGAAAGCAAACCTGTAATTATTTGTGTGAGGTAAAGAGTTTAATTTGTAAACTTGTTTGCAGTTCTACACCCAAAGTTCCTTCATTTAAGATCCCTCTACAAACTTCTCCTGGGAAACCTTTCACTGGTTACAGGGAAGGAGATCCAATAGTAACAGAAGAAGATGAGTATTTTACTGTTCCCCAGGTAATCCTTATGAGCTTTTGATTCCTCTTGGTTTGTTTGGAACTCCCTGCATCAGTCTCCTTATGGCTTTGCATCCAATTTCAGCAACTTGATGTTGGGAAGTGGTGGGGTGTATCTGTCACAAAAACCCCTCAACCGAACAAACAAAAAACCCAAAACAAAACCACAAAGTCATTATTAAAAGTAAACATTATCCTTCCTCATCCCCTTGCAAAAGGTAATGCATTTTGGAGATACTTGTTGGTTATAATTACTTTCACAAATGAAGATGAACTCATGGTGTACATTGAAACTACTTTCAAAGCTGTGCTTTTAAGATGTTCACCTCTCTTTTGCCAGAGGATGAGGTGTTCTTATAACAGCAGATAGCTTGCTTGTCAAAGTGTTATATGTGACTGTAGCTGCATTTTACTGACAAGTAATCTTCAAATGGAAAGCAAAGGGGTAGAAAATGCTCATTTCTGTGAACCCCCTGCAGCAATCCATGGCTGGACAGTGTGTTGGGAATGCTCCTGTGGCCTATCTCCACAACTTTGATGTCAAGTGCCTGACCAATTTGGAGTCTTACAAGGAAGGCCTGCCCCACGACGTGAAGATAAACAGTGGCACTGCAGGTATGCTGCAGAAACCCGAGCAGGAATGTGTCCAATTGTTTCTCAGAGCTGCTGGAACAGAACAAACCCCAGGGCTGTTGGCACAGTGGCAAAATGTAACATCTGTGTTATCTGATGGCCTTAGTTCAGCATAAGCCCTTGTGTCCCACTGTTTCCCAGGATTTAGGAGGTAGGAAATAGCAGGATGGGCCTTTGTGTCCCATTTACCTGTTCCTGGTGACTCATTTTCAGACTTGCAGAGCCCTTTTCTGTCAGGAGGGTGCAGCATCAGCGTTTGAGAGTGAGTGAGAAGTGGTTACTCTCTGCATTACAAAAGCCTGTACTTATGGAGAGTCATTTTGGAGTTTGAGATAATATGATTACCAGCATGAACATATTTTATTTTATGCTCCACAACTGTCTAATTTTGTTAGTCTGTATTACCTCTGTAAGACCCACGGTTAATTAGCTCTGCTTTCAAAATACATA